CGTTCGTCCTTCGGGGGGGGGGGATTTGTACACTTTAGTGATCCTGCTCAAATTGTTTTTTTTTGGTTGCATACTCTACACTATGTGAGCCAGATTACAATCATTTACAGAGCTAGGGTTGCCAGAAAAGAGATGGACTTTGTTGTGGGATAAAAGAACAGTCTGTCATTCTTCTTACATTCAGTTCCCTCTAGTGGTGGCCAGGAGCAGCTGCTTCAGTAAAAGAATAATGTAAATATAATGCTTTCAATCTGGAGGACCCTTATGTCTTATGTCTCCTGGTTATGTGCACATTGAATTGCTTACCATAACAACTAAAGTTGTATTAGTAGGCCCTAAAGCCTCCAGTGATTCCGGCTCATCTTGGGGTCTTTTGTAGTGAAAGGCTGTTCTAGCTGCATCAAACCTTTTTGGGGCATCTGGAGGGAGTCTGCCATTAATAAAGTAATCTCCTCCTTCTGCCTTCAGGGCTGTTAAAAAAAAAAGTTCTCTCAGCTTTTTTGTTTTAAATAAACAATAAATAATCATTTTAGAATAAAGCAGCACATTTCCAAAATATAGCGTGTTTTGCAAATACATTTGTTATAAGACAGAAACAGAAACAGCATGCAGACAATAATATACAGATGACAGAGATTATTTAAAAATAAGTCACTTTATAAGAGCTTCTCTAAAGTTTAGTTCAGATGGGCTATAGTCTCCACTGCCCTTTGAAAAGCAACCACTGCCCGGCAATAATGCCATCTCCTAAATGCAGTTTTTTTTAAATCCCAATGGGATTTTCTATTGAAGTACGCGCATGGGTATGCGGTTTCGGTGTGGTCCCATTCATTTCAATTGGTGCATTAGACAAACGCGACATGCTGTTGATTTTTTGCTGTGAGGCGAAGCCTTGTGGCTGCTGCAATGCATACGGCTCTGTGCTGCTGCAGTGCTGACATTTCAGTGGGAGGCTGGGGGGCGGAAAAACCCGCACATCAACAGCGCACCTTTACCATGTGAATGAAGCCTAGGAAAAAAGTAAACTGCTGAACTGCTTATACTATCCTGAAAGTATTGTAAGTGGCAAAGTTCAGAAAATGCTCAGTTTTGGGCTCTAGTACTTCAGTTCTTTCAACTGGTGTTATCTTCAGGCTTTTCAATGGAGAAAAGGGTTGTGCCCATTACTCAATAGGTCAGTGGTGGCGAACCTTGGCACTCCAGCTGTGCCAAAACTACAAATCCTAACATGCATCTGCCTCTGGGAGTTATGTCTGTCAGAGCCTTGCAATGCCTCATGGGACTTGTAGTTCCAAAACAGCTGGAGTGCCAAGGTTCGCCACCACTGCAATAGGTGATGCCATTTAAATCACATGTGGAATGTGAATAAAATCCAGAATACACTACCTGTTGGGGGTATGGTAGAACTGAAGTTCAAATATATTGTTTTAGATTCAGTTTCATATACATTTCCAGGTGGAGCAGGACTTTCTTGGTACATCTGTATGGTACTGCAGTCTCTTGTAAATCAATCTATGCAATATACTGCCCTAAAAAGTCTCTTATATTGCAATACAACAGTCTGGCCATAGTTGACCTTCCTCAAATGTTTATCATAGAAATGAGGGCAAATAGAAATTTATAAACATGGAAGCTTATCTTTGAAAGCTACATTTACCTTTCTGACCACGTTTCATGTTTCACCTATATTTAGGGTGTAGCATGAAATATGGTCACATTGCCACCCCTCCCAGGCATGGGGCCTAAGGAACAGCACCTTCTGTACCTGTGCTTGGGAACCATACCTACTGTACTTGTGGTTGGAAAGAGCACCTACTGTACCTCTGGTTGAGAACATAGACCTCCATATGCTATTTCTGTCATATAGATCTAGATATAGAGAGGAGTTTAAATCTTATATTATATTGATTTAAGAAAACACCCATCTATGGTCAGGCTTAGGTGCTGGATGTGACTTAGGCAACCTATGAACTATGATTCCTGGTAGGGAAAGGATAGAACCCTTGTAAAATTTCTGTTACTGTCTGTGTCCCTGCTGTGGAGATTCACCATCTCCGTTTGTCCTGGTGACCATTGTCACCAGAACAGAAAGTGACAGGAAATCCAAATTTGTATGCTTGTCACTGGAACAGAGGGTGTGGAGAAAATGTTTAATGGGAACACCTGTTCCAATGACATCTGTCTAAGAGGGTACTTCCCCACACTTTGGAGAGATTTCCTTTCTCTTCCTGCAGTGTTTCTAGGACAGGAAGTAAAGGGAACTTTCCCTAACATGACATGAGCAGCAAACAAACAAATAAAAAATGACAGGGTTTTTTTTACATACCCTATTCTATCTAAACAAACAAACAAAAAGGTTTGGTCTATATATTCACTTTAGTGATTCTAAGGACAAGTCTGACTGAGCTCATCATAGAGCCATGGCAGCTGTGCTCCAATAAAAAGCAGGCTATGCAACACTTTTCGATTTGGCCAATGAGTTTGTGGCCCAATATTGCACAGTTTCCGTTGTCCACCACTAACCAGACTGGCCCATGTTTGACCATATTGGTTCTTGGTTTACTAAATAGATACTGTTAACTGATGTATGAATAAGATGACCATGAGTGGGTTTTAAATCTACTTACCCAGGTGGTTTTGTGAAAGGTTGAGCTGTTTAATGTTAATATGGACAGAACCTTTTGGAATCCAGATAACCTCCTCATATCCTTGAGAAATGGGGGAGGGAGAGAGAGGAACAAGCTGTAAGAGAGATGTTGGACATAACACTCAATCGTGTAAGGGCATAGCTCACATTCACACTGCATCTGTTTCACTTTCAGACATCCTGCAATTACAAGTACATGCATACGGGATGGGGATGGTGTCTGGAAGATCAGGGAATGAGAGGAACTTCTGGATCACTGACCTTATATCTAAATGTACTGTACAGGTAATGCACAAATCATTGCTCAAAACGATAGGAAAATCAGGAACAATGGTAAGTAGCATGGAGTTATATTGGCCAGATTTCTTTAAAGAAGAACTCCAGGAATTTTTTTTATTTACCCTTGCAGTGGGGCTCCCCCCACACTGCAAGGGTTAAATGCTCATTTGTGTCTAGATTTTAAAAAAAAGATATACTCACCCAAAGCTCCGAGCCGGATTCTTCTTAGACCGGTCCTCCTTGTGTCTCTCCCCATCCTCTGCACTGGTCTAAGGTCCTGGAAATCATCATGTTCTATACACAGTGTATAGATGTGAGGACGCTAAGGAAGATTCCAATGTACTGTGGAGGAGGAGAAAGGCTGGAGGGAGCGTTGTGACAGCTGGCCGGTTTATAGCCTTAGGTGAGTGTAACTTTGCTATTTTATTTCCTAGGCACAAACGAGCACTTAACCCTTTGCAGTGCGGGGGTAGCCCCACTGCAAAGGGTTAACAAAAATTTTTTCTGGAGATCTTCTTGAATGTGCTATAAAAACTGTATACAGAAATGTTCCTGATAATGGCATACAAACCTCTACCTGCATAGGAAAGTTAGATGGGACATTTCCCAGTGTTTTTCCCTAGGAGCTAGAAGTAAAATAGTGTTAACTGTAGGTGAATAACGACAATAGGGATTAACAGGCCCATTTGTAATCATAGATTAGAAGTCTACTATGCTGTAGCCTTCACGGAAGGTACGCCAATGGCTGTACAGACCAACGTCTGCTTGGAAACAACAAACAATTATTTAGAACTGAAGTGCTTTAAAATTAGGTGAAGTAATTCTCTAATAACTGTACGGCTCCACGATTCCCCCCACCAGCATTTTATCTAAAATTAGCAAAAGTGTGCCTGTCCGGACACAGAAATAATCCAGAGTACTCTGCACTATAGAACATACAACACAGGGAGTTAGTGTTGGCAGACCAGATACCAGTGTAGAAGGGGCAAGAGCTGATAGTGAACAGAGAATATAGTAGGACCAGGACCTAACCTCACCTTGAGAAATGCGGTACAGCAGGTATATGTGAAAAATGGACACAATGGGGATGTGGATGGACGGCAAGTACAACAATGGGGCAGGAAATCTCTGGACACAGCAGGACACCACATAGTGCCACCTTCATCAACACATATGCCCATTTTTCAGGAAACTACTGAATGTGTGGGGTGTCACATGTCAGGGCAGGCACAGCTCTGACAGGTAGTGCTGCAGCTAATGACTTTATTGCTTATTGCTGAGTATAATAGGTATAGTATAGGTAATAGCAACAAAGCTATGCGCACAGTTTTTTTGTACGCAGTTGGTATTGTGTATTCATGTAATTACCTCCTGTGGACTGGAACTTAAAGGAGAACTATGGGGTCAGTGTTTTTCCCCATAGTTCTCCTTAGGGTAACGGGAAGACACAAACTAGCGTCCTCCCGTCACCCTAGGCTCAGTATACCGCAAGCTACAGCTCGCGGTATACTGAGACGCCGCAGCCGGAGGGGATCCCGACTTAGACTATCTAGAGGCAGAGCCAGCTGTACCTGCCCCCTCCCCCGTCCGTTCCGCCAGTCAGCGCTGGCAGATCGGAGCGGGGAGAGGGGAATCCAGCCCCTCCCCCTGTCACGGCAGAGAGCCATGAGAGGATCGAGAGGTGAGCGAACCCGGTATGTGTTCGCTCACCTCCCGATCTACTGAGCTGACATGTGACAGTCTCATTGTCACAGGTCGGCTAGAACTATGAGGTGAGTGAAAAGCACTCACCTCATAGTTCTCCTTTAACTTCATATCATTCTACTGATATGTGATGCAGAGATGTAGCTTTCTGTGACAGCTGTAACTCAGTGAAGTGAAGATGATGGGGCTTTGTAAGGACAAATAAAGCTTCACAGCAGCAAACAATTCCTTTGTGTACTAGTGCTTGCAGGAACCTCATGTACTTTTTATATTACTGTATATATATTGTCTTGTTCATTATATCTGATCCCTCTTTTGGGGAACTGAACAATTTCAATGTACCAATAAACGTATAAAGGAATAAAATTTGAAATGGACGTTATCTGAAATTGTAAATTACATTTCCATAAAGGGTCCATAGGTCTATGCAGCCTGTACTAGTATTAGTACAGACGCAATAGTGTATTTAGCTGGCTTAGAGGAAAAGGATATAAACAAAGTGAGAGTAATGCAGGTCTACACCTTATGAAATGGAACATCTGAGGTCTGATTTTTTTTCTTCACCTAATATGTTGGTAACGGCATAGGGAAACTACTGAAATTTAATTTATAATTTCATATTAACATAGATGTTAACTGTTTGATACTGATTTTTCGTGTTACTGAGATTAGATTTTATGCCCTACTAACTATACTTTCCGCAAATAAATGGTTTATAATTCTGCATGACGTATGCTACCTTATGTAACTCTTTAATTTGTACAATTAATACATTTCTATGGAAATGAAAGTTTGTGTTTACTACCAGGCGAAACATTGAGACATCAAGGGCCCATCCATTTGAAAAATAAATGTAATAATTTAGTTGTAATCTCTCCTTTTAGGCGATGCAACTCAGCTTCTACGATTGACTATTTTTTCTCACCTCCCTCAAACAAAGACTGGTTGAAGATTCCCTCAATGGTCTCACATGAGTTGCCATCTCCTCCACACACGCGACATTTGTCTTCCTTAACATCAGATCCTAAGATTCGATCACAGCCCACGTGCTATTGTTAAAAAAGAATAAAAAAATGTCCACATGTTACATTACTTTTGAAAAGCATAGCTCGTACCTTCCTAAGATTGTTAGATACCAACTCTAACCATCAATGATATTTTGGGCTGGAACCACGTGATTGAATTGTTTGTCAGCTTCTTATATGTAGACAACAGTGGCCAGATTTTCCTGCACCTTCCTCAATTGAGAAGTTTACTATTATCAAACTTCCCAAACCTCTCCATCCCCCGTTGTATAAAAGTGACCCTCTGGTGTCTATATTTTCCTCTCTTACTTCCATCTGGGTGCTGCACAACAGGAGGGTAGGGGAGCATGCGTGGGTGTCTCATACTCAGAAGTACCAGGATTTTCATTATGGCTCCAGCAGCAGTTGAATAACTACTGTGCATTGGCAAAATTATGAAGCCTGGTGGGGATATCTCCCCTCTGGAGACCAAGAGGTGGACTAAAGCCAGCAAGTGATACAGCTTAAAGCAAACCTGTGCTTTGTCCATGCAAAGTGAAGCATTTAATGCCCCCCTATAGTACTCCTGAGTATGGAGGAGCACCCATCTTACTCTCATGTGACAACACTAGTGCTGGCCCTGCACTGCTATTGATTGGCCCTGTATGGTCACATGGGTGCAGGAAGCCCTATGTAAGCTCTAAATAATGTAGTTTGGAGCTTACACAGTACTTTTCTCACTCGCAGTAGCAGAACAGAGTGCTACTTGGGAGTGAGCCAAACTTCTTGCTTTTGCCCTGCATGGTGGAATCATAGGTTTACTTTAACGGCTATTTTGCAAAATGACAATTGGAGTTGGGCTTAAACATTCATAAACTCTATGTGTCATTAAGCAAAGACCCTTATAGTGTGAAAAAGATGTTTTGTCACTACTGATGGGTTTTAAGGTGCAAGGGGATACGCTGGATGGAAGCAGTTTAATCTCTGCCTAGTATACTTAAAATGAAATATGATCTATATGTGCTAGAAATGTATTTGTTTAAAAAAAGAAGTGGGTCAGAGTGTAAAGATTACCATTTGAGGTCAGAAGACACCAAAATAATAGCCATAATCATTTTTCAATATTGGAACACACAAATTGTTAAATTTTGTTAAAGCCCATTTTATTTTTGGAAGTGTAAGTATGGAAGTGTTAAAACTCCTGCAGGTTGCTATTGTTCTGTGTGTGTTCTTTAGAAAGATTCATTCTGTTTGTCCTGGTGACCATTGATACCATTGAACTTTATGGGAAATACAAAATTTTAAAGCTGTGATCTGAACAGGTAGTGAAGGGAAATCTTCTAATAGTCACACATGTTCTAGTGACAAATGTCTAATCAGTAAACTGTAACCAATTACTATTCTACCTGATATCCTTGCCATGCCAGAGTAGCTATTATGGTTGTCAGAACTCCACAACTTCATAAATTATGTATCTTTGCCTACCTGCTCCACTACAGTAGGCTTAATGTCTGGACAGCTTATATGAGCATGGAAAGGAAAGCTCACATTGTATCTTGGGAGCTAGCTATTTTCCTCTTGTTTTGCCTACTGTTTAGACATGACATGTTGAAGAAGAGAAGGGGACAACAGACAAGAGCTAAAACATAAATGTCTTAATATGTTTCTGCAATTTTAGATGTAAAACAAACTTGGATAGCTTTTAATTGTTACTTAAGTTAGGACAAGTAATGTTACTTTTAGTACAGATGCACTATAAAGGGATTATAAATAATCTAATCATCATACGTACCTTGCACTCTCCATTAACACAGATATCATAGGACTCTGGTCTGCAGGGTGTTCCATCTATCACAGCTGCCGCTCTCTCTGTGTAGAAGTTAAAGCCTTCCGCCAAGCAGTTGAGTGAACAAGCCTTTACCCCACCTACAATTATACATGTCTGTCATTTAGGATAACTCTCTTATTTGGCCTTAAACAGAATAATGCTCACACTATAAGGTTACAAAATCCTTGTCATAAAGTGTAAACAGTTACTTAATTGCAAGACTTTTATATCTATCAAAACTCTTTTGCATAGAAAATATAACTAAATTCTTAGGAATGTAATATTATTCTTAGAGTTGAATCCTGATCATGGCTATTATCAGTTAGGGGCATTCCTCATTTGTTTCACAGGATATAAATTGAGTTTCTATGCTCCTAATGCCTGTGTAAAGAAAGAATATGCCTTGGAGATGTAGCTATAATCTAATTAAAGGCTGTGCATAGGGAGGAAATGTAGGCGAGTTCCTTTTGCTACTTCCTAGTGATGCGCACCTGCTGGATAACTACATCTCCTATGATTCCCACCTTTGCATTCATTTGGGGACATTTATGAAGCAAATTTGGGACACAGTTTTACAGTATACGGTTTTACAGTGCATTTGCAACCCATGAGCCTGTATTTCTGGGTAGGCAACTGAGCAAGGTTTGCAAAGTTCTATAAGATATTTATTACTGAAGCTGCATGAATAGATGCATGCCTATTGCCTAAGGCCCCATTCACACACGAATCGGCCTGCACGTACAGCTCCGTGCTGCGTGCGGGGCCGTACCAAGTAGCTGCTGGGAAGGACAGGTGCTGTGTGTGATTAGAACGCAGCCCCCGTCCTTCTCTATGGGGCTACGCGGCCGTATGCCCCCCTACGCTCACCTCATTTGCAGGTCCGTAGGGGTGCGGGTTTTCTGGCCGGGACGCATACATGTTCCATTCCAGCGGCGTATGAATATGATCACACGCACCCCTACGGACCTGCAAATGAGGTGAGCGTAGGGGGCGTACGGCCGCGTAGCCCCATAGAGAAGGACGGGGGCTGCGTTCTAATCACACGCAGCACCTGTCCTTCCAGGCAGCTACTTGGTACGGCCCCGCACGCAGCTCGGAGCACGGAGCTGTATGCGCAGGCTGATTCGTGTGTGAATGAGGCCTTACCGTTCTTAAAGCACTGTGCTGTGAAAAGCACAGGAAACCAAACTAGGGAGAATTGACCTTCTACATCTCCTTCACTCAGCATTTTCAAGTATTGTACTTTTGATAAATGTGTTTAGTGCATTACTATTTCTGTACTAAAAGTAACGATACACTGTGACTGGTTTGTAAGCCAGCTTTGTGAGTTCTCTGTTGTTACTATATTTGTTAGGCTTTCGTTTGAAAGTTTCAGCTAATTTTCTCAATACAAATATATATTGGTATTTTAAAGCGTAGGCAAAAGCTCTTTAAGATTTTGGTAGAGTGGAAGGGTTAAAATCTTTTTTTGCTGTCTGTGTCCCCTCTGGGAAGATATACACCTCTAATGTTACCGACAATGAAAGTGTGTGTGTGTGGGGGATCCAAAAGTTTACAGTTGTTCACAGGTGAGGGAAAATCTTCCAATGGGGAATCTAACTGTACAATTTTCTTTCCTTTACCTCTACCAACAACTATGTAGTGCAATGGCTTGCTTGTTTGAATACAAATTGAATAAATTGTTTAGATATGTCCTCGTATTACTAGAGGAGAATGTTCAGAGAATGTACAATTAGATTATATATATATGGCCACTTATTCGGGGGTATTTCCTCTAAGGTCTGGTTGCATCTGTAGGGCAGGAAGTGAAGGAAAATGTATCCAGTCGTACAAAGACAGCAAAAAAAAAACCTGATGGGGGTTTTCCTTTCCTACCCTATCCAAAAGTCTGAAAAAAAGTTTTGGCTATACATACAGTTTAGGATAATTAGTTAAGTTAGTTATAGAAATACAAAATCTGCACTACATCTAACAAAGCCTTCTAAGATTTTTGAGCCAATACTGAGACTGGGGACACAAAGCAGCTGTCTTTGTGAATGAGAATATTATAGCAATTGCTCTTTGTCAAACTGCTGGGCCACCGTGTCAGAGAGGCCTAGGCATTCCAGATCCAGATGTGGTTTATGCTGACAAAAACTTGATCTAGATTTTGCTAATGATAAACATACTATTATATTGTAAGCCAAATGATTACAACTCAGAATTTTAGACGTGTTAAAGTATAAAGTCAGTTATGAGTACATGCTGATTCTTGTGTATCAGTGTGTTGGGTTCTATACACTTGTCTTGTGTAGACAAGGTTCCCTGTACTCTTGATCTCTGGAAGGATTTAGCTGCATCTGGTGTAGATAAGCTTTGTTCCCAGCCTCATTTTCCCTTTGCACCTCTGCACTCTCCCTTCAGGAATGCGCTGAGCTGAGCATTTCAGCTAAATCTTCCACTGTTGAAATAGTATGCTGAATCTCCCAGGGGGAAAATTCCCCAACAAGCAAGTGAGGGGAGGAGGTGGGGTGAACAGAACATTGAATGGATGATTCGTGAAGGGCGGCTTGACACATGGGTGTGAAATAAACACATAGCAAACATTTTACATGGAAGACCGAGAGACAGGTGCAGAATATGTTATACATACTTTATACAATGTCAAATTCTACACTGTTGTATAAATGCTGTAGGCTGTCTTCCATTAATGCAGCTGTATTAGGTTGGTTAAAATAAGATATTTAAGTCCATGAACATGAGTACAGGACAGGGTGTTAGGCAGAGCCGTAGCGAAGCACTCACCTTGGGCGCAGGCTGGGTGGGGGCGCAGCCAGGACCCTGGTATTCCGCCAGTTGGAGGGTGGCGTGGCCCAAAGAAGTGATGGAGAAGAAGGGGAGTGATATACTGATAGTAGTATCTGTGTGTGACACCTGTGTACCTGCCTCCATACTAGTATGTAATACAAGAGTTTTATCTATTATTTAAATTATAGTAGAAAATTATGTGGGGGGGTGCTCAATGGGGACAGTATGGACTCCATACTGTCCCCATTGAGCGTTCTCTGCAGACCTTACTAATCACTTTGTTTTCGGCCGGAGCTCAGTGAAGAGCTGCGGCTGAAAGCACAGACAGCCTAACCAGGAGCAGGTGCTCCCACAAATCAGGCTTGCATCCGTGACCACAAGCCTGACTGAATTTCCACTCGCCTGCACTGCATTTCCACTTGCCAAATGCAAGCAGGCGAGTAGAAATTTTAAGCCCTGATTAAAATAATAGAGAGAAAACTATTTTTTAAAACAGCTGTAATTGATGAAGTTCCTGCCCCCCCCTCCCACTGATATCTCTCTCCCCCCCCACCTCGCAAACTACCCCACCTACACCCTTAAGGCTGTGACACACTGCACGCAAACTGCGGAGCGGTGGCGCTTTGCCTTTGCGTGCATTGTGTATGCACAATTGTCTTGTCTTAATGCACCATTGTGCATTGTCTCTCCTGCACGTCAGCTTGTGAGAGCTTGCATAGCTGAGCGTGCCGTGATGAAAAATGTAATCTTCAGCCAATCAGCTCATGCATATAAACCCACGCGTCAAGATGCGAAGGACATTCGGTTGTTACATGCGAGCCGATTGGCTAAAGATGCAATCTTTTGTCTTACTGCACTCGGCTCACACACTGCATGCGAAGCTCCTGACAGCTTTGCTTCGCTCTGCACAGCTTTGCATGCAGTGTCTCACGGCTTTATACTACGCCCCATATCAACCACTGTGGGAAGGAGCTGTGGAGCATCAGCCTGCTGGGAGCTGTAGTCCCAGGAGGCAATGTCAGTGTCTTAGTGGTTAATGTGACCCTCTTCCTCCTGTCCAGGCCCATCCAAGTGGCGGAACTCCAGGGCGCGGTCACACTGCTTCAACTCTATTAGTTCTGCCACTTGGGGGGCACTGACAGGAGTAAAGGGGCCCTATCAACCACCAAGGCACTGACATTGACTCCTGGGACTACAGCTCCCAGTAGGCCAACCCTCCACAGCTTCCTCCCGCAGTGGTTGATACTCATGCCAGTGGCAGAACTACCAGGGTTGCAGCGGCTGCACTGAGCACAGAAAGCCCCAACTGACAACAGAGAGCCCCAACTGACAACAGAGAGCCCGCACTGACCACAGAGAGCCCGCACTGACCACAGAGAGCCCACGCTGACCACAGAGAGCCCACACTGACCACAGAGAGCCCACACTGACCACCGAGAGCCCACACTGACCACCCGAGAGCCCCCACTGACCCTGGAAATATCAGGCTGCGAGTCTGGAGCAATACAGAGTACATAGCTTCATATTATTCTGCATTGCTATATATTGTATTACTGGGATTTGTAGTCCTCTATAGCGGGTGCCATTCTGCATTGCTGTATAACGTATTGCTGGGACTTGTAGTCCTCTATAGCCAGTGCCATTCTGCATTGCTGTATAATGTATTGCTTGGACTTTTTTTTTACCTCTACAGTTGGTGGTATTCTGCAATGCTGTATAATGTATTGCTGGGACTTGTACTTCTCTATAGTTGGCGGTATTCTGCATTTCTGTATAATGTATTGCTGGGATTTATAGTCCTCAATAGGCCGGTGCCATTCTGTATTAGTCAAAAAGTTTTCTTTAACTCTTGGCGTTAATGGCTGCCAGCTGTAAAACCTCTTTATGGCCTGGGGTGGAGCTCAGCTGCGGAATTCCGTTTGTAAGTCAATAGGTCTGAATACACATAAACAGCAGCAACAAGTTGCAATGTTAACTTCACATCACAGCTGAAAGTCATTAGTTTGAATGAACCCTTAGCAACAGTAGCAAATCTGATATGTTAACTTCACATCACAGCTTAAAAGGAGAACTATGGGGTTAAGGCTTTTCCCCATAGCTCTCCTTAGGGTAACGGGAGGACACAAACTAGCGTCCTCCCGTCACCCTATGCTCAGTATACCACGAGCTACAGCTCGCGGTATACTGAGACGCCACAGTATACCGCGAGCTACTGCTCGCGGTATACTGAGGCGCCGCAGCTGAAGCGGATCCCGACAATTATGTCAGGATCCACCCAGCTGCGTGAGTGACAGCTGGCTCTGCCTATCTAGAGGCAGAGCCAGCTGTACCCGCCCCCTCCCCCGTCCGATCCACCAGTCAGCTCTGGTGGATCGGAGCGGGGAGGGGGAATCCAGCCCCTCCCCTGTCACGGCAGAGAGCTGTGACAGAATCGAGAGGTGACCGCTGTGTGTTCGCTCACCTCCTGATCTACTGATCTGACCTGTGACAGTCTCATAGTCACTAGGTCGGCTAGAACTATGAGGCTGAGTGCAAAGCACTCACCTCATAGTTCTCCTTTAAGGTCCTTAGTTTTGAATGAAAGCGTAGCAACAGTAGTAAGTCTGAAATGTTAACTTCACATCACAGCTGAAAGTCATTAGTTTGAATGAACCCTTAGCAACAGCAGCAAGTCTGAAATGTTAACTTCACATCACAGTTTAAGTCAATGGTTTTGGTAACATAAGCAGCGGTGGTGGAAATACTTGCTGTTTAGCTGTACTGCTGTTTTAGGAATCCATCCATGCAGTGAGGCTGAATAGTGGCTGTAGAGACTGGGGCTGGGAAGTCCTGTGCACCTGTCTCAGGCTTGCCGTGCACTATGAGTCTCAGCAGCCTAGGGAGCTAGGGAGTAGCTGCAGTTCAGGATGGAGAACGGAGGTGCTCAGAGCTTGTCCAGCATCCGCATTCATTGCAGGAACGCCGGACAAGTGAGAGACTGTGGCTTAAGCTGAAGAGGGAGGCGGAGCGGCGTGATGTCAGCGGACGGGGGCCGGAGCCACCCTTCGTCTCAGACGCCGGAGGGTTAGGTATACGGGATCTGTTACACCAGCTGAACGATCCATTTGCTGCTGCATACTCAAAGTTTTCAACAGTTTATCACAGTTTTTCACACAGACTTGAGAGGCTGCTCATCCAAGGCTCTGGGGCTTCCACCACGAACATAGAAAACAGTTTTATACCCCACTCTCAGGGAAAGCAAGCTATGATTCTGATGAAGTGGGCTACACCCTGAAACGCATCAATCTTGGCTGACTGCGGCCGGTGGACGGTGATGTGACCAGAGGCAACCGTGTTACATAGTCGGGGCAATACCATGTTGGGTTAACAGACAATGTGGCCTCTTGTTTGTTGATAAAGCGTGATGAAAACGTTTGCTTGTGAGCACATTTATCCCTTGTTTTATTTATCTTAATAAACAATTTTACACATGGAGGTGGCGCCCTGTTCCCTTTTGTTTTCTACATTCTGTATTAGTGTATAATGTATTGATGGGACTTGTATTCCTCTACAGTTAGTGGTATTCTGCATTGCTGTATAATGTATTGCCGGGACTTGTATTCTTCTATAGTTGGCAGTATGGTTACATCTCTGAGGGATGAATTACCATGAAAAACACATTAATTCTTCAATTTAAAGTTTGTTTACAGTCTAAATAAATAGATTAATACCCAAAGCACTATTTTGATACCTTATTTAACTACACTGTACGTTTCTTTTTTATGAAGTTGTTATTCATGCTTAGTTACATATCTTTATGTTTCATATGTAACAGAAATAAACAGTTCAGATTTAATTAATTTCCTTGTTATTTGTTTATTTTCCTCAAAAAACATCGAGGGGGCGCACAATTTTCTGTTCTTGCCTCGGGAGAAAAAGAAGCTTGCTACAACTCTGGTGTTAGTGGAAAAGTCTGCAAGGCACATTATTACATTTTGTTTGGTCTAGTAATTTTAACAATACATTCGAAACCAACACACAAAAGAGTATCCGCAGAGGCTATTATTTTTTAATTGATCTGTTTTTTATCGTATTTTAATTTCGATTTATAAAACATACTTCACAATAACATACTGTATTTACGGGCTTTTACCTCTTATGAGGTTTTGGTAATAATATTTGTATTCATTTGATGTCCAAACATTTTCACAGCCTATTAGTATAAATATATGAAGTGTCAGGTTATCTCTATTGAACTCTGACTCTTCAATATGATGATTAGAATATAGGACTTTAAAAATAGATTTCTGGTGACCAAAATGTGGCCTGGCTCTCTGAGTGAGGCCAATTGTGTGCTGGGCTGCCGCTTGTTGGGTACCTATAGGCAGTTTGCAGAGCGGCAGTGGGGTGCCGGGTGCTGGAATGCTCTCTGCAATACTGTATTGAAAGAACACCTGTAGTACAGCCAGGCGATCTCCACCTGACAGTATAAGTATAGTCCTGGCCGGATGGGGAAGGAGAGAGTGGCACAAGAAAGCGTAATGAGGGAAGTAGCCACTGACCAACTATGCACAGATGGGGGGTTACCAGCACTGGCATTGACCACCAACGTGTGTGGGTGTGTGGGGTGTGTGGGGGGGTAACAGGACTGCCACAGACCACTAAGGGCAGGAGCTTTACCAGAACTGCCACTGACCACCAAAGCAGAGATGTTAAATTTGCACTGCCACTGCTGACTTATTTCAGCTCTCAATCAATTTTTCAAGCCTTAAAATGACTGGTGTTGTAGCTGATCACATGTGCAACAACTGCAATACAAGTAGAGGCTAAGATGGCACATTACTTGGCTGTAAAGGACAATGTGGTGTAGTTTCTATTTAATCAGGAGCCTCCTGATTCAGGGTGTTGATTGAACAGGTGTTCCTATGTAGGAGATTCTGGATGCATAATAATATTTTGTTTACTTGTTTTCAAATTATTTTTGGCACTGAGCACTTTATTTATAAACTGTTTCTTTTTGTTTGGCATTACATAAATTGTGATTCAGTGTGGTTAATTAGCTAGCACTATTTTTTAGGTGAGTATAGTTCTGTGTTTATTTTTGTTTAAAGTTTTTATTGTCTGCTTATAAGCACAGCAGCTGATACATTTTTTATGCAAGATTAGCACTTTACATATAGACATACAGGGGGGAATTTATCATACTGGGGCAGACAGAAACTGCAGCAGTTGCCCATGGCAACCAATCAGCATCTCTCTTCAGTTTGCTTAGTTGGCATTTGAAAATGAGAGAGAGAAGCTGAATGGTTGCAGTGCAAATCTGCTCCAGATTTCGTCTGCTCCAGTTTTGATAAATTCCCCTCACTGTATTTAGGCCAGCATTTCTTAACCTTTTTTTTTAAGTCTTGGCACTCTTTTGAGTTAAAATTTGAAATATGTAAATGTAAAAATGGCCTCTCAAAAACCATGCAAGACTCTTATCTGAGATAGGGGTCTGGTATGGCTTTTAAGGGAAGGCCCCCTGCAAAAACACAAAAAAGAGGGGTTCCTCCCTTTCATACTAGAAGCCCCTCTTTCACCTCAGATGCCCCATTTACACCAGAGCCCCTTCTTTTCAAAGCATTTTTTCCTCCCATAGGAATACGTTTTTATTTTTCTTTCTCTTACCCTGTTGCTTATAGAAACTGTTAAGTATTTTCTTCCTCTTGCTGTGTTTCCCAAAGTTAAACAAATTGTACTTTCCTTTAAAAGTGACACAGAACACCTTTCTTTGTTCTTCTCTCACTGTTTTACCTATAGCAGTGGTTCTCAACCTGTGTAACCTCAGGACCCACATTTGTCCTTGGTCATTAAGTTGTGACCCAAGTTGCATCGCATTGGAATGCACAACATTGCGGTACCGTGCGTTTTGGTGTGGGCGATCGAGGTGTGAGGCGAGTTTTGGGGTGCCATTCAAATGAATGGCAAGGCAACGCACCTCCCGCACAGACACATTCTAGCACACGCACATACACACAACAACAAAAAATATTTAAAAATGTTTTTTTTTTAAGAGCCATCCAGTCTTCCTACCTAATGAGAACTGGAGTGGATCCTTAGCCTTGGGTCCAGTGTGGGCTGCTGTAGTGCGACAGAGCTCCATCCATATGTGCATCGCTTGTACAGCTCCCTTGTGGTGTCGGGAGCGAGAATGTAACGCCACTCTGGCTCAGGCACCTCTGCAGGGCACATAGGGAGCTGTAAGCAATGCATGTATGGATGGAGCTCCCGTGCGACCATACCCCCAGCCCACCCCACTTCAAGATGACACTCCCCACCGGCAGCATATTTTAAATGGCTGGTCGGCGTGAGAACTGACAGTGCTGAGCTAGGAGCCTCTCACCTAGTGCAGTGGAAGGCATGCAGCGACCCATTGAACACAGGGTTGCAACCTACTTTTGGGTCACGACCCACCAGTTGAGAACCAGGGACCTATAGCAAGCATCAGTATTTTTTTTTCTTTCACAGTTTTCCATAGTAACCAACTGGCAATTCCCTTTAAAAGTGGCACGGAACACTTTTTATGTTTGGCATTATGTAAATTATTGTTCATTGCAAGTTGATTACGATAATTATTAGGTATCTGTGTTTATTATAAGTTGTATTGCACACATCAGTAAATACTTCTCTCCATTTCCCACCAGATTAACTTGAACTGATTCTATATTTTCCTGGAGACTCTTTTTGAGGCACATAATATTCTGTACAATCCACAAACGAATTAATACTTCAGCAATGTCAAGACAAAGAACTCTTTATAAGGGATGACATCACTTACAAACTCTCCACTGACCCGTTATAGAGGAAAGAGTTTTAGACCACTAAAGTGGTGGCAGTTAAGTAAAAAGATATATTTTTAACAAATAAGGAATACTTTTTGCTGGATCATATAAACTAAACTTTTTACTACTTTAACCTTTTAAAATCTTAGAAGGCAAGCCCATAGCATTGCACATTTCCATATTATTTTCCCCCAGAGTTCAAACAGAAAATACACATCACTGCTTTTCGTTCCATGTTAGGCTTGTGGTTTTCTCATAGAGCACTTAGTAAAGATACTGTTCTAATAGAGATACCTGCCTCCTTTGTAGCTTTTCCATGAATAGTATTTGCCTCGAAATGCCACATTGTCAAATTCTGCACACTGCATCTCCCGGAAGTCCTGGAACCCAGGTGGGCAGTCCTGAAAACAAAATCAATTTAGTTATGTACTTAGAGGATGTGGATGTTATGTTGTGGTACTGTCATGTTACACATGTATTCTGATATGCCTTTAAATATTATTTATTTTATCTGTCACTGGTATTTGTCTCCACCTCTCCCCATAGTTCAGTTTTCTTCTGATAGATAGCTCCACCCTTTATTATGTTCCACTCTGCATCTCACCCACATGACCTTTGCTGAGTGGATCACATTATGATCTTTTGACCTATCCTATGTTAACTGCTGTAAAGATCTGCGCAGCTTGGACTAAACTTCTCAACGATCTTCAAGGTGTCATTGGATTGAGTCAAATGTCTGCCGACTCACTGAGATTGGAGTTACTGCCATCTTGCCACAACTGTAAGTTACGGAGATCACACTTTCAATGCTTAGACTAATAAGGCTGAATAGGCAAACTAAAGAAACTTTGCATGTAAGGGGATTAGATTAGGGTCCCTGTAATTTGAAAGCTGAAATCTGTGCTCGGGGTTACCGCTCCTAGCATGGAAAATTCACCCCGAGCCAGACTCGGGAATACCGCCAGGGAGGTTAAATAAATATTCTCTAAATACAAAACACAAGAGACCTGTGAATTCATACTTCACTGTTGGTGCCCTTTGTGTATATCTGTGCAATAATCCAACATGAAACAACTTCTGTATTTTGCTTCTGTGCAGGAGCTTGCTTCCTGTAATAAAGTCTGTCCACTGCTGCTCTCTCTCCCTGTGCACAGTGACTGGTCTTGTGTATGCTACCCTGTAATTTTTGGTAGGCAGCCTGTAGTGGGAAAACCTGCTGAGTTCCACCCAGGACTCTGTTTTATGTGCAGGCTGTGCCCAGTGATGATGTCACCACTTTTCTACTTCATCAAGGTATCTTCCTTGAAAATGTGTGCACCCAACCCAACAATCCAGAGGAGTTAAATGCATGACCAAAAAGGAGCCTTCCTTCAAAAGGCAAATTAATAAGATGTTGTTTAAATATTCCAAGCATACAGCCACAGTGCTGTAGTCACTGCCATGTGAGACAACAACTTAGATACCTGCAAAAGGTCCACAATGACTAAAGTCAAGAGCCTGAAATTACAGATTAGCAAGTTACAAGGAACAGGGATCCTGCTCCTAGTTAGATGGAAAAAAGGCAAAATGTGATCCATTGAGACAATGTAAGTTGCTGGAGAGTTATTCCAGTTAATTCTAACTGGGATTTAAATAGTGAGTCCAACTGTTTATCAGGGAAGTTATTAAAAAATAATGGCCCATCACCTAGAGAGATCAGATGCATTTTATGGTGAAAAAAGTCCACAAAGGGTGGGGATAATTTATCAAGAAATTCCCTATCAAAAGGAAAAAGCTTCTGTACATTATCCAGAGGAAGATGTTTGTAAAGCATGTTCCCAGTTCCCAAAGAGGAACTGTTCAAGGACAGAGGATGTGGGGAATGTCTTTGTGTTACCAGTAGCCAAAAAGACCTGATACAACAAGTTGATCTTCTAGATGCATAACAGAGCATACTACATCAAAAACAATTGTGTGTATATCAGAGTCATGAGAAATCTGAGGAATTATAGGGGGTTATTCACTATGGAACCGAAGGATACAGCCGTAGCTTTGGCTGATTCTTTGGCTCTCTTTGACCGCCGGACCCCTTCGATTTAGTCGAACCGAAGAGCTGCTGTACGGGCTATTCACAATAGTCCGTACAGCAGCCGAAGGCAGCCAAGCGGCTCAGCCGAGCCAAAGGCATATGCTTCGGCTCTACTGAGCCGCAGTGACAACTGAAGCATGGAGAAAGGTCGGCTGAAGACTCTGCTAGAAGACTCTGGCAGGTGTCGGCTAATAGGAAACAGTTGGCGGAGCTAGCTGACACTGCTAGCTCTGCCCAATTGTTTTTCTTTTGCTGGCTTCTTTGCCGTCGTTTTTTTAAAACTATTTTTAATTTTCTCTTTTTTATTTTCTTTAAACTATTTTAATTTTTTTTTACATTTTCCTAAATTTTAAAACAATTTTTAAACTTTTTTTTTCATTTATTTCACTTATTTTCTATTCTGCTTAGTACCTCAGAGGTATCGAGCAGAATAGCCAAGCCGAATGCCGCTCGGCTATTCACTTATTGCTATTCGGCCCCTAAGTGTGAAATCAGCCGTACAAGCCAGAAGTGAATAGCCGAACGTTGTTCGGCTCACTTCACTTCGGCTGGGTTATTCACTCGCCCGCCTTCGGCAGCTTTGTGAATAACCCCCATAGTCTCTGTAGAAACAGTCTGTAAGGGCTCTACTTCAGAGTCAGAGATGATAATAGGGCTTTGTTGGTGATTAGGTCCCAGAAGAGCCGTAAGTAGGTTTTACCATTGATGGCAACACAGTGTCCCAGAATTTTCCATTAGCGTTGCACAAACTGAATAAAAAAATCAGAAGGGAAAATAAGAGGCCTGGCAGACACTAAAGGGTTTTCAGGCTTAGTCAGTGTAGCCATAGAAGCTGCTGATGAGGATATAGAAATAGGGGATCCAGGATTTATTGTACAGGCATCGGATCCTTCTAAAGATACTAGTGAATTGTTCCTTGAAGCAGCAGGGAGGTGTGGAACAAGGTAACCCACTGCAGCAGGACTGTTCTCTGAACATCTGTTACAAGTTTTGTTGCACCAGCTACTGACCGAGAGTGAGGCAAGGCTGTGTGCATTCACAAATCCAGCCAGAGGAGCTGGTGTTGATCATAGGAAGCTGGAGGTAACCAGAATATTGAAGGCAGGCATGTAAAGGACTGGGAAACTAGTGAAGCAGAAATCACTTCAACAGTGGTAGCTGCAGGAAATGCTCCCTTCTAAACTGAAGGATAGCAAAAGAAACAAGGTGTGCATGCGCTATCAATATTGTCTATATTAGAGCACTAAGGTTCCTCCGGCTAAACGGTTACCGCAAGAAAAGGGGCCCAAGGGGCACTCAAATTATCTTAACCAAAACCCTGAGACCCTGAGTCATGAGAGACAGGGTCACAACAAAGTAATGCCATGGGTAGTAACACAGTACAGTAAGGTCTGGATAGCACCATGGGCAGAGCTCAGTGCCCAAAGGTCACATTCCAGACAAGCCCTGCATTCTTCCATCTAGCCGGGTCCAGGTGCAGTCTCCAACGCTGAGGATTAGTCAGTCTAGATAGCTGCTTTTAGAGACCAGCTCAAGTAGCTTATTAAAAGTTTTGCTTAAAGAAAAAAACTGAGGCATGACGGTTTGGAGGTAGGGGTTATATGGGGATGGCCTAATGTTTTTTTTGTTTTTTTTTACAGTGTCCAAACCTCCTGAAGGTAGCAGTATGACCCATTTTATCAGAATAACAGCTTATCCTGCATCCCTTAATGAAGGATAAACAAAAGAGACCATTTATTTTGGACTGCTTAGTGTTTGCTCTTTCCATGTTTTCCATGTTATATATTGCTTGTTTCTAAACTGTTTTTTCTTTTCTACATGCAAGAAAGCCTGAATTGGAATCCTCTTTAGCCTTCTAACTTTTATGCTCTCAGGCATTGCTATAGGGTCAGTGCAGGGTCAATGATGTCAGAAGGATGTTGCTTGGAATATGGAGCTATGAGGATGAAAGTGTGAAGCTTCTTTACTCAATCATTCCACATGTTTATTGTATGCGTGGGATGCTTTGGGAAAACACTGGGTGTACAAAGAAGCTCCTCAGAGGTCTAATTTGGCAGTGCTGATAAGAAGTGGGATTCCATGCCCTTTTCATTTTCATAGAGAGGAACCATTAAGTGAAATGTATGCAATCTTAATCTCAGAGTTTATGCAATGTTGTAAGCAAGTTTGCTCACAGGTTTGCAGAGCACCAGTGTACTAAAATTAGTATTACCTGTCTACCAAATTATTAAAAGCCTATACACACACCTTTGGCTGGTTCTAGTTTGTGTTACAAGCACACAAAACTATTTGTGCAACCACTGATATTTAATGTTGGACAGGGAATAAAAATCAAGCTTAAGATGTATATATGATCTTTCACATTTCTGGCACAAGTATTCATCCTGGCACGAGGGCATAATTAATAATATATAGCCTACAGTGTAAGGATCAGCAGCCTTTGGAAGCCCAAACCATCTTACAGATACTCTAAAGAACTCTAGTCTTGAATCTGCTAGAGTATCAAGATTTGTGGTGTGTTCAGTTTAAATGTACATAATATGGAACATGTACAGTTTAGATGTTGAGTTTCCAGTTTTTACTTATATAAAGTCTTCAATGGCTTTACTGAAGTCTGAAAACCACTTTAAGAAAAAGATCTCAAGGATTATTAAACATTTCAAGCAGCAAAAATTTCCAATTGAACCCCTTTTCACCTTGTTTTTACTGAGCTATCCCAAAGGACATCCACGCAGTATTTACTTAATTCTAAAACTGCCTATCCTATACTAATATTTGAAATGTATTCTGGGCCCTAAAAATTAAATTCAACATTGAATAATTCAATTGAATAGTTCAATAAACACTGTAATTAAAAAAAAACTTCCTGTTGTGTCTCTGGAATGAAAGGCGAATTTCCCCAATGGGAAATGGACAGCAAAGAAAGAGAAAATGTTTAAGGGTGTTAACTATTCTCAGCTGTTAGATATACATTAAGGTGATTGGTTTTGTTTAAGCTAACCTTGCTATAAACATGCAAGGTCCACTTTTTTACATTGGAAAAAAAATGCATTAAATATACTTACCTTTAACCTGGCTTCCATCAGGGGCACCTAGGAGAAGGCTGGAAACTTTGCTGCCATATGTAATTTCTGCTCCAAATTGAAAGCTTTGTGTGTAGCAGAGAATGCTGTCCATGAACCCATCGCACTCAAAACCGCTGTTCCTTATAAAAGACGGGTGCTGTGGCAGTTGACGGATGGCAACCGTCTATAATCACAGGATAACATAGACACCGGCACTCCAAGTAATGAATCAATGGCGTCTGTTTATTGACGCATGAAACATAGCACAATGCATCAAAAAGCTTTTAGATGCGTTATGCTATGTTTGCTATGCTATGAAAAAAAACATTATTATAATAATATTATCACCCATATATATTAATATTACCCATCTTCTACAGTGGTGTTACATTCCCTATCTAGGTGATTATGTAGTTCTGGGACCTGTGATGACCTCTTCCAGCACTAGCATACACATGGCATACATAGAATCAATGTAAACTAAGGTGATCTTAGGCCTCCTTGGGGTGTCACCCTTGACATGTACCTATACCCTGGAGCTGGGTCCTAGGCACTGATCCGTACAGCGCACACAGCAGAGGATAGTCCAGTGTACAGGAGGTGCTGCTGATTGCTCTGTGCAGAGTCCAGCTCGCCTCTTATATCCCAGGGCTCAGGATCCACACTGGCCGAGGGGGGTGCCCTCCTGGTGAGTTGCAGCTGTTATGCTGTGCTGGCCCTGGCCATCTGACATAGCGGGCCATGTTGGGACCAATGACAGAATACATGGAAATCAATTTAAAGAACTAGGTTGCAAGCTGAAGGGAAGGAACTCCAAGTTAATATTCTCCGGAATATTGCCTGTGACATGCGAAACACAGGAAAGACAGCAGGAGCTTAGAGAGCTAAACGCATGGCTGGAGACCTGGTGTAAGAGTGAAGGCTTTCTGTTTCTGGAGCACTGGGCTGACTTTTCATTGGGGTGCAACCTATATTCCTATATGCTAAAGATGGTCTGCACCTAAATGGAAGGGGAGCCCCTTACTGTTTAATCTTATGATAAATGACAGAGTTGGGGATTAAAAGTACTATTTCTGTGTTTGAAGATGACACCAAGTTAAGTAGTGGAATACAGTCCTTACAGGATGTCTCCAACTTACAACCAGATCCGAATGCACTGTTTGATTGGGCATTTATTTGGCAAATGAGGTTTAATGTTGATAAATTTAAAGTTATGCACTTATAGCGGCCGTCAGCCGGAGAGGGGCTTTTACTCTTGTCGAGCTGCAGCTGTTGCGCTGTGCTGGCCTGGCCATCGGGCGTAGGGAGCTGGGTTAGGCTGATTGTGTTCGACCTGGCCTGGCTCAGCCCGGCCCACCAGGCAAGTGCCCGGTATGCCCAATGGCCAGTTCGGCCCTGCATGCAAGGAAGGAAGGCTTTGAAAGACATGTGAACTGGGCAGGTTCCGGAAGAGGGGACACGCGCTTGCTGCCCTCACTTTCTGCTGTTCAACCAGGCTGCATGCCTAGATAAGGGTCTGGTAGGAATTGTAGAGGGAACCGCACAACATGTTTTCCATTCTTTTTAAAGGACAGTGTACATAAAATATGTTGTGGGCATGTAGCCTGAGTGGCCAGGAAAGGGAGGCCAGCAAGTGTTCATATTCCGCTTCCTGTATACCAGGCCATATGCCTTTCAACATTGGAGGAGAAGTACCTTGCAAGGTGGGGGTGGCAAAGACTTCCCTGTGGAAGGCACCTTGGAAGGGACCCTTAAAATAATAAGGCATCCAGCTATCTGCTCCTTCCCAGGGAAATAAGTACAGGGGTACATTGGTAACCATTCTCACAAACAAGTACATTTAAATAAACACACCAATGTGTTTATATAACACCCCCAAGCATGTTATTTAAAGGATTTGTGTATTTTCAATGGTGCTTTTTGCGCTGCATAAAAAGACTCTCTCCGCTGAATGGTATTAGCCTTGAAAAAGGACAGAAAAAAAGCTTGTTTTGCCTCCCATAGACTTCAATAGGGGTCAGCACTAAGTTTGGGGTTCACAAATTCTCACTGGATTTGCCAAACCTGGCTGAAACTGAACCTTGCCAGATTGACTCATCCCTACTTGTAATGTGTCTGCTTTAAATTGTATGTATAGCCAAAAAGTTTTTCTTTAGCTTTGAAAAGAGTAGGGATGGATAAGATATATATAAGGTTTTTATAGCAGTCTGTGTCTCTGCTGGTAAAATTAACCCTCTCTGTTTCTGTCCAGGACAAACAGTAAGTAATGGAAAATCCAAACTTTTACAGTTGTCCCAGAAAAAGGGGTGAGTGAAAATCTTCCAATGGGGATACCTATTTTGGTGACAAGTGTCTAAAAGGAGAGGAGGAAGTAAGTAAGCACTTGGGAGGTGGGTTAAGCTCTGAATATTGTATATTCTACAGAGGTGGGCTGAGGAGTTTTTACTTAAATGTAAACCTCCTTGTTCTCTACTCTACCCCAAAAAAAATACTGGGCTATACAAACACTTTGAATATCTTGCACAAACTTGTTTGCTTGCATGTTTTGGAATACAAAAACAGTAATCCACAAACTTACACATATGCCACATCCACACAGTTTTCTTGAGCTGTACTCACATCAATATTGCAAGATCTATATCTCTTCCTTTCCCCAAGGCAATATTTTCCTCCAATAGTTGGCCTAAAACCCAGAGTAGAGATTAAAATGATTATTGCCTCAATACAAATAAGTTCATTATAGAATAAAAAACAGCCAATAATGAAACATGTAACATATGAAGATACCATAAAGCAACAAAGGTGAATAAACCTACCTAGGACTGTCACAATGTCTGACAGATGATGACACTCCTCCTCCACAGGTCCTGCTGCATTCTCCCCAAGAAGACCAGGGTCCCCAAGCTCCATCCACTCCCTCAGGCCGTGTCCCAAAAAGAACACATTCCCTTTTATAGCACCACTAAAAATTAAATGTACAAAAAATTACAAGGTTGCATTTCCACTAAAGCAATAGTTTTGGATGTAATATCGCCATTGTGCTCTTTACTAAGTAAATACAAAATACATTTGCAAGAAATGTTTATGAACCCTGAAGATTTTTCTGGATATCTGAACGAATAGTTCCTAAAATGTGATCTAAACTTTCAAGTTGGGGGTGAGCAAACCATGGCCTCCTGAAAGCTTATCTCCTCCCATTGGGGAGGAGAGATGCTAGGGATACACTGAATTTTCTGCCGCATTTTCTGCCGTCATGGTACTTTTGGCTATTTGCCCATAAGTGCCATTTTTGAACGAACTTTCAGTGCATCCCTAGTTTTTAGACATCATGCTGGCCTAGACACATCTGAACCATGATGTCTGTTGTACAAGCTTCACCTCTTGTGTCATGTCATATTTTAGTAAGAATGTGCTGATGAAAGCAGCTTATAGTCTGCTTTATATGCAGGGCTACAAGAGAAAGGAGACATGGCTTTATGTTTTGTGAAGTATAGAACTCTTCGATACATCTCCTGCACATCTTTTTTCTCTTGAAATTTAGGAAAATGTAGCCACAAATGTTCACAGGTGGAGAAGAGGAAAACAAAATAATTAAACAGTAATCACAATTTCTATATTTTTAGACTTGGCATTGCCCCCTCTAATCTGGCTGCCCAAGGTACTGGCCCACAAGCTCTCCGCGCCGCCACATGCTGTGACAACAAGTCTAAAATGGATTACAAACTGGTAAGGGGGTTGGTAAGAGGAAAGTGCCTTCTGCCCTGTTATTAAGCACACAGCATTACAATAGCCCATACTGAAGCCACATATGCTTTTGGCCACATATGCTTTGGTTGATTAAACAACAACAACTGGGCGGAGTCGGCCGTGACATCACGGCCAACTCTGCCCAGTTGGGGTTTTTTTTGTCCAGGACCTGCTAGAAGACTCTGGCAGGTGCCAGCCAAAAGTAAACAGTTGGGCGGAGCTATCGGTGATGTCAATGCTAGCTCCGCCCAGTTGTTTATATTTTGCCAGTATCTGTCTGATTCTTCATTCTGCGACGGGAGTTTGATGCATGCAGTCGGCTCAGCATGCGTCGTTTCTTTAAATTATTTATTTATGTATTATTTTTACTTTTTAAAAGGGGTATTAAAGAGGTACCCTGATGTGAATAAGCCCCCTTCCCGCACCCCCACAAACAATGCCCCAGGGCTTGTGGGGAAGAGACCCTTGTCCCTAATGGCACAGGGACAAGGTGCTTTTTCAGGGGCGACCCTGGAAAAGCACCCTCCCAGTGCTAAGTGCATGTGGCCTGGTATTGCAGTAAGGTGGGGAGTGCTCGCTCGTCCCCACCCTTTTCCTGCCCTGCCAGGCCTGTGCTCGGATCAAGGGTCTGGTTGGGAATTTTAGGGGGGACCCCACATCTTTTTTCCCCATTTTTGGGGGTGGGGTTCCTCCTTAAAATTCTTACCAGACCTTAAAGTGCCAGGTATGACTTTATGGGGGAACCCCAAACACTTTTTTTTATTTTGCCCTGGGGTCCCTCCCCGTTATTACTTTTGGGGGGAACCCCAAGTTTTTTTTTTTTAATGGGGTCCTTCCTAACTTTCCTACCAGACCTAAAGGGTCTGGTATGGTTTGGGAGGGGGACCCCATGCTGTTTTTTGTTTTCTTTTCTTTTCTTTTACATTTTTATATTTATTTTCTTGACTTTTTTTTCTTTTTCTTTACATTTATTTAAATATTTTTTAAACAATTTTTTTTTCATTTGTTTACATTTTTTTCTATTCTGCTCGCTACCTCAGAGGAAGTGAGCAGAATAGCTGAGCAGCATTCGGCTATTCACTCACTGCCATTCGGGCCCTATGAGAATAGGGGTGAACGGCAGCGAGTGAGCTGCCGGAGCTTTGGCTCAGCTGATCCAGATGTTGAATCGGCTGAGTCGAACTCCTTCGGCACTTCAACTCAGCCGAACACGAAGAGCAGTGAATAGTCAAATGTGGTTCCGCTCTGTTCACTTTGGCTCGGTTACTCACTCGGCTGCCTAAGGCAGCTTTGTGACCCCCTAAGTGTGGAGATATCTCCAAAATATAATCCATTGTTAATGATTTTATTGAATATAAATTAAAAGCTTGATGACCATTACCCTTTAAACATTTACATACATGGGGGTCTTGTAAAATTTTCTGGTGGATTTTAGAATTAGAGTAAAAGCTTACATATGAATATATCTGCAAACCAAATCATAGGGGATGCCTGCAATTTTCTTTGTAAAATAATGATTTCATATAGCTAATAAAAATATATAGACTATAAAAGATGTAAATAGAATTTAACCAAAACCATTTTAGTTTCACTTTAAAGTTTAGGATTAGGGGCAGGTAGAGTAATAAGTTTTTAGGAAATAATTAACAGGTTAAGGTTCTTTATTAACTTTAAAGGTTTTGTCAAGAGTAAATATTAGGGTAGGTTAACTGTTGAGTTTTAGGTTAGGTAAAGGGTTGCGTTTCACTATTGGAGGAGATTTACAGGGCTATTCACAAAAGGGTGAAGAGTTTGGAAAAGGCAGAAGTGAACAATATTGGACAAAATAGCGGATTTGGATTCTCCTATTCAGCTATGTTGTCCTAGATTGATCACTTCTCCTGCCTTCTCCAAACTCTTCACCCTTTTGTGAACAGCCCTGTAAGTGTTAATAATTAGTTATATTTGAGTTAAAGTTGAGTTGAATTGAGTTATTTTGGGGCAAACAAAAAACTGCCTTTGCAGTTGGACTGCTTCCCTCACTGCAAGGGTTAAGCACTTGTCTATGCCTAGGGGATAGGAAAACTCTATTTTACTGCTGCTGTTGGTTCATTAGACCAGTCCCTGCAGCCTCTTCTCCCCTTTGCTCTGGTGGTCTAAGAACTACTGACGTCATCATGTCTAATGCAGGTTCCATAGAACTGTAGTAGACGTGAGAATGCCGAGGGATATTCCGTCAGCCATAGCTGAAGGGGGAGAGGTAAACCCTGACCCTAGGGGGAGCAGGATCAGATAAATAAAATAGCCTTTTCTGGTCCCCTAGGCATAAACAAGTACTTTTCCCTTGCACTGTGGGGGCAGCTCCACTGCATTGGTAGTTTTTTTGGCTTGCCCAGAAATTAGCTTTAAGTTTTGAGCAGAGAAGGGAAGGATTTAAAACACTTCCATGCTTTACTCTATGCTAGATACATTTCCACTCACTCACTGTCCCAAAGACAATGCTTTGATCAGAAAGGGAGTGAGGGAAAATCGATAACAGCAACACAGAAAAAAATGTGTTTCTTTAGTAGAGTAAGAGAAGCCTGGAACCCCATTCAGTGTTCTATTGCTTTCTGTGTCTCTGTTCCAGATTTTCCTTTCTATTGAAACTGTTGTCACTATCACAGTAATTGAGCAATAATCTCTCCAATAGAGCCCCAGAAAAAATTGACAGGGGTTCTAGGTGATAGTTGGGAAGATTACAGTAAAAATTGCAATAAATGTTTGTGCCAATGCTGTACCTATAGCACTGAAAACGTACCAGCATATTTACTGGGTATTTCAGGGGTGTCACCAAAGTCTGTTGCAGAAATCTACTCACTCATCTACTAATCTTAAATCGCACTCTTGGGCATGCTACATCTGCAAGCCAAATTATTTCAATCAGCAACCAACTTTCTTTTATATGCTGTAACTTGTTCTTTGTAATTCCTCTGGGCAATATTTCTTACCCCCTTTTCAATGGTATTAGTTTGACAGATGGTCCCTTCAGCAGCTGGAATGCTGTTAGTGATGCAACGGCCAGTTTTGCTTAAACACCAAAGTTCACTGCATACCTCCTGATAAGAGAAAACACAATCATTGAGAAATGTTGTGGTCCACTATGTTTTTAAGCATGAACCATTTTTTATTAAACATGAAGACTTTAGGTCAAATAATTGATAAAATAGCATGGAGTGGAACTCTAGCTGGAACTTAAAACTAGATTGTGTCTGCTGTGTTGTTTTAATAACTATGAGGTCACTATTATATTAAGCTGCAGGAATTACTTTAGCTTTGTTCATTATTCTACTACATAATAGTTTTCTCATAAAATGTTCAGATCACATACATAACTATTGCATCGGTGCTGAATCTTGATTTGTTCTCATTAAATTGGATTTAAACCCTTCTAAGTCCATATTTTCTATGAATTTTATTTTATATTCCCCTCAAATGGCAGGACTTCCTTCAAGCAATATGGGACGCAAAGAGATTTAAAAAACAAAACAAAACACTGTAATGCTCCATTCACCCTTAGGACTTTTGTAGCTGAAAGGGCTAAGCACTACAACACTCAAACAGAGGGTTTCCATAATTTTCAATGGCCCCTGTTCACATCTGAGCGTTCTGTCCCCTGTAGCCAAATGCCTGTTACTGTTGTTGCGTGTTTTCTGCAAAAGAAGCAGCTCTCTTCTTTGTAAACACACCTTAAGCTGAATAGGCCTGAAATAAACACAGTAAAAACACCTACAAAATGTCTGTATTAATGCAGGGATTCCAACCTGAAATAAGTCATTTCAGGGTGGTGCCCTTCTCATTTAAAAAGACAACTAGGAAGAGAGCACCCCCCTGAAATAATGGCAGATAGCAAAGAAGCTAATGCTTCCCTTGTTATCTGCTGTTTATTTTTAGTGTTCTGACAGCTGCTGCCATCAGGACAACAAAAAAAAGAAAACGGCATAGGAACTAATAGCTAGATTGCTATTGGCTATTTCAACTTGCAATAGCCAATAGCAAGCTGGCTATTGCACCCGCCCTCTGCTGCTATCAATCAGCAGCGGTGGACCTGATGGAGAACTTCAGGTCCACCTCTGCTGATTGACAGTAGCAATGGGCGGATGCAATAGATAGTGTTACGTACCTTATGGGAGACCGGATGTGAGAGGAGGCTTCCCTTGCACCTTGTGTCCTGGGAGACTCTGATGATGGGAACAGAGACTAGACAAGTGGCAGGAGTGCCAGTGGTGTTGAGCACCGTGCAAGTCGTAATCCGATGAGACGAGCCGAGGTCAAATCCAAGCGGGAAATCCAGGTACAAAAAGGGTTAGGCAAAAGAGTGGTCAAATAACAGTTCCGAGGTCAAGGCAGGCAGAAATCAAGGTTAGTCAAGGAAGTCCCGGTCACAAGAATCAGGCAAGTTTTCACGAATCACAGGAACAAGGAATAGCTGATGATAATCCAGCAACATGGTGGTGCTGTCGCTGAGCTTATATAGGGGAAGTGATGTCAGTTCCTATGCGCCGCAATGGTGCGTTTCCGTGCTGGTAATCTACCGCTTATGCAGTTGGCGGGGATCCATTACAGATAGTCTGCTATTGGCTATTGGGAATTAAAATAGCCAATAGCAATCTAGCTATTAGTTCCTATGCCTTTTTTTTTTCTGACTGATGGCGGCCGGCGTGCCTGGGAGCGGCTATCTAATAGCGGGAGACTCCCGGAACATCTGGGAGAGTTGAGATGTCTGTTAATGTCTGAATTAAAGTGACACTAAAATCTTAAAAATGCATTCAAGTACCTTCATTATTAACCAAAATATACCTTATTTGTATATCATTCGGCTGTAGATGCTCAAATCATCTCTGAATTCATGCTGACATTGTCCTTCCTTCTGGAGGGTGGCTACTTTTGTTCCCCATGGTCCTTGTGTGTGTGGTAAATTAGCCACCGCTCCAGGCTTGCTCCTGTGATGGAATTCAATCTAACGTTTACTTTACTAATTTGTATTGAGATTGTAGTTCTTCACGGGAGCAAGTTTGGAGTGGTGGTTTCTTTACCACACACAGGGACAATGGGGAACAAAAGTAACCACCTTCCAGAAGGCAAGACTGCACCAATTCAGAGATGATTTGAGGATCTACAGCTGAGTGATACACAAATAAGATACGTTTTTGTTAATAGTTAAGGTACTTGAATACATTGTTAAGATTTACGTCCTGAGTTTAGTGTCACTTTAAAGGAGAACTCTGGGGTTAAGGCTTTTCCCCACAAACTAGTGTCCTCCCGTCACCCTTGGCTCAGTATACCGCAAGCTATAGCTCGCGGTATACTGAGACGCCGCAGTATACCACGAGCTGCTGCTCGCGGTATACTAAGACGCCGCAGCTGAAGCGGATCCCGACAATTATGTCTGGATCTGCCCAGCTGCGTGACTGACAGCGTGCTCTGCCTATCCAGAGGCAGAGCCAGCTGTACCCGCCCCCTCCCCTGTCCGTTCCGCCAGTCAGCGCTGCTGGCGGATCGGAGCGGGGAGGGGGGAATCCAACGTGTGTGACAGTCTCATTGTCACAGATCGGCTAGAACTATGAGGTGAGTGAAAAGCACTCACCTCATAGTTCTCCTTTAAGTTTTAATTTGAGGAACAACAATTCATGCACACCTTGAAACGTTTATTGTAAGATGAATGAAAACTGATATTTATACATAGTCATAACTGCCTTTTTTTAGTCAATGTTTTTTAGCTTTTCCTCTGTTCTGAAGGGACAGATTTCTAGCCACCTGACCTTTCTCTAATGGTAACCACATGCATTTCTGTCAGTCCTGCCCAACTTGCATATATTACTTGCAGCATGTTCTCTTTGTTTTGAAAGAAATAAATCATGTTAATGAAATATGAAACAGAATATAATATAATAGTATTTTATGTCACATATTAAAGTGACATTAAAGGATACATTTTTTCCCTCCCCCCAATGTTAATGTCAGCACTTGCCTTAAATGATGTCTCTTAATCCGATCTTCTTCTTTCCTGATGTTTTCATCTGTCCCTCCAGCGGTGCCGCGGCTGTCCGATCCAGCGCTGAATCCTCTGTCCTTGCTGGCACTTCCGATCTCACGGTGTCTGCATGCGGGTGCACGATTCCATAGACTTACCTTGCGTCTCTGCTAGTCTCCCGGCCGAGAATCCGAACAGCGCATGCGCCCGCCCCAAGATGCTTTGCGGCTGCCCGAGCAGTTTTGATTTTCGGGCGGGAGCGTGCAGCGAAAACAAGGTAAGTTTAAACCGCTGTTAAAGCTGTTTTTAAAAAAAATAACTTTCTGCCTATATCTACTGCTTGATAGCAGTAGATATAGGCAAAAAAACTGAGCATTTAGAACCCCTTTAAGCTATGACAGAGTAGGTGATAGGATTTCAGATAAAAAGTCCCATAATTTATATGGAACTTTGTTAGTTCTTTAGAGGGCATCAACATATAATACTAGATATGTAAGTTGTTTTAGATCAATAAGAGTGGACCCAAAAAAATATTTTCTCAAGAATACCACCTCTTAAATCATAAGCCTGTTTTTCAAATACTGGGGAAAGAAAGATGGGGCAATTGCCTGTAACAAATAATTTGCTTGACTGCTGTATATCAAGTGCTGTATATTCTAGTTTGCTAACTCAAGAGAATAATGTTTTCTTTACATTTTCAGATTTAGATTGACGATACATTATAATACTAAAATCATTGTGAGACATCCACAGACCACCAGGGAAAGGCCTGAGGGGAGATCCTGCCAGTGCAACCTACCCCCCAAACACCATGTGAATAATTATCTGCACAATGCTGCTTTCTGCTATAGGGTCTGATGGATGAAAGGTCCTTTAAACTTTTTGTAAAGTATTCAGAAATACTTAAGGACCTACTTAAGGAGGGCTGCATCAGCAGTCCAAACTTTAACCATTTCCACCAGTCAACAAGGAGAGGAAAGAGAAAGTAGGGGCTAGAGGAGAGTAAAGGGGCACAGGGCAAGGTGTGACATGGCTGTGCCTCTACCAACACGGAGAGTATGGACAGCCTGCAAGGCTGTAGAGAGGGAGAGCCACCAGACCAAAAGGGATAGGTGTCCGGAACCTCAGGGACAGCATGTTACCCTAGAGAGACATCCACAGACCACCAGGGAAAGGCCTGAGGGGAGATCCTGCCAGTGCAACCTACCCCCAAACACCATCATCCTGAAAGGACATTGCAGCTTATGTGGCATCCACCCTTATCCAGCCTGCCAGAGTACCCATCAGAGGACAGACTGTTGTCAGGAGGATGTCCTACGCTAATTTGAAATAAAAGAAAGGCACTTTTAGTGGACTTCATGTGCAATCTTCCCATTTTCTTCATCTGCATATTGTGACTAAAAGTCCAAACTTTTGGTCCTGTGGTCTCTGCTGAAATGGAGAATTAACCAGTCGGAACTCTGATCCTCCCCTTCAACAGAGATCATATAAACAGAAGCCTATGCTTCTATGCACATGGCCAGCACTGAAAGGAGCCTGGAGCAATGTTTTCTCCAGCTCTTAAATGACTCTTTATCTATGCTTCCCAACAAAATTATTGACATGTTAACGTTTCAGTAAAAGTCCATTTTAAGCCTTATGTCACACACCAAGAATTTCCTAATTTCTTTTCATGAACTGGCAAGACAATATAGGAAGGGACTCTACCCCGTATTTACACTGGCGAGATTTAATTCCATGCTGGAAACGGCACTGATCATCTGCATCATAGGCCTGTCCTGGAGCTTGTGTCGGATAAATAAAATCCTGACGCGGGGGTGCGTTATTCAGGCAGAGGCCCAGGCCTGAACTGTGGACATAAGAAGAGAGGAAGTCTGCATCAGCATGTGTGTGAAAGCAGCATACTACAGAAGCGTATATATTTCAGAATATATATAATTATGGTATAAGGAAATATTGAGATATACTTTGACCTGGCAGACTTATACAGGCAGTTGATTTGGTTGGAAATTTCCCCATTGCTCATGCCGGCCCATGACAGAGGGACATTGTGTCTACCCAACATTTAGAACAATGTAATATAACCATGACCTATAGCAGATTATTTAACAGATTTGCTTCACAGCATGAAACTCAGTACATTGTTTATAGACAAGAATCTGCCACAGTTTGAGGTTTTTCACAAAACTGGAAAACGTCTTTTTTGGACAAATTACCCTAGAACTGGGAGTCATACCTCTTGTCCCCACATCTAACTATACACTCCTATTAAATGTGTTATCTATTACAGCCATAACCAGAAATCACCTTTCACCGCACCTTTGATACCATGGCTGCTTTTCATATTGACAGAGTAAACCTGTAAAATGTGATATGCTGCAAATCTCTTTATTTTGTTAAAGCACAGAACTGTATCATGCTATGCCTCTGTGTAGAGAAGAATGTTCCCACCCACTCCACCACCTTCTTTTTTACTTAATTTGTTGACAGCAGGCTTTATGTTGCACAGGTTTAACATTGGGGCCATTTTCTAGAAGATGCCTAGGTGCCAGAACCTAGTAACACCACCGTACTACTGTTAAGCATCTGTGTTGTATACTCTGTTCTGTGAAAAGGGAATGTGGGGTAAGAAAGAAGGAAACTACTTTTGTTTGGTACACAGACACTTAGTTAACTAGGCTAAAATGGCCTATCTTCACAAGCATTAACTTCTTACAGACTGTAGCTGTTATGATTAAAACAAAAACTCAATGGGCTGCTGTGGCCAACTTTTCTTTACAGTAGTAGAAGTACAATAGTATTATTTGCTGCAAGAAAGTCATGCAGCCTTTAATAAATAATTTTTATTGATTTTGAAGTTTCTGTCTGTGCAGTGGGGGTTCAATAGCATAACCATTCACCCCATATAGAACCAATTCCTATACTTGGTTCAACCTTGTTTTCTATTCAATAGGCAGTTCTTTAAACAGGTTCCTACCTACATTCCCCCTAGTCCTAGCTTTCACAGCCTCTGTACCAGTCTTTTATAATGAACAGTATCATATGCCTTTTGCAAAATCTGAACACACCACATTAATAGCATTTCCCAACTCTAGATTAGAACTAAGCTGCTCATAAAAGTCATGTTTTTTATATATGACCTATCTTTTATGGACACGTACTTATACTCCCTGATTACAGTATTCTCTTCTGTGCTTGTTTGTATATCATCCTTGACTATACTTTCAAATATTTCACACATTAAAGAAATCATGCTTACTAGCCTATAGTTTTATTGTTCCTGATTTTTTTTCCTGTCCCAGACATCAGCTTGCGGAACTTACTCTGGTAAAAGAGGGCTTAAATACATTAGATATCCTTGAAAGAACATCCCTAAAGTAACTTTACACTTAAGATTTGTTCAAGCCAACGCATGGTTGTAATAGAAGAAATTACATAATGGTCACCTATACCATGTAAGTGTTAGACACTTTTCTAAAGCTCACGCAAGGTGTGGCTGAGGTAATCTGACAATGGGAACTTACATTATTCAGGGCACTGAGGTTTCCCTGGTATACAAATATCAACAGGCTTTTTTGATCAAGAACCTAGCTCCTTTTATGCCTCACGATTGGCCCATAGGGGCCTTACGAATTATTAGTAAGGTGTGAGGCTGTTTGATGATTGCATACCAGAAGACCACAGAGTATAGGGGACCAGAGGTGCTTTATATGAAGTCCTACCTTGCACTTGAAGGTGGCCACTATGCTATGTGTTAGTTTAATTTGTATATTATGGGCATATTTTCACTTTACCTATTGTCTACAAATTTTACAGAGCTCAGAATCCTTCCTTGCTATAGCAGAAATCTGTGCCTCGTCTACCAGCTTATGTTTTACTTAAAGACTATTCTCACAGTGCATTGTATTAACACAACTCATTTTCATGTGTTAAGGTGTGCTGCATTAAGGGAACCCATTTATTTTGAATTGGCTGGCATCACACATTAACCCACAAAAAAAACCTACCTGTAGCATTCATAGAAATATGTTATGTGCATTGTGGTGCACTGTACTGCAGGTGCAATAGCAGCTACTGTCTAAGTGTGTGTAAATTAATAGCGCCACAACGCACATCGTAATCTAAGTTAGTGTCTCATTACCATAATGCATCAATTGTAATTTGGCACTAAATCTAACTCAAGTATTATGAAAATGTATCATTATTACAATATTATTATTATTATTATTATTATTATTAGTGTTATGTTAGTAAATCACTCTCTTATTTACTCTCTTTATTGCCCCAAGCAATTAAAATGAGCATGCAGAGATTGCTTTTGCAATTTTTTCCCAGTAGGTCAAAGTAGATTAAACAATGTTGAATTGTATAACGAGTATATTTCAAGAGACTTACTCCAAGAAGCTGGTGATATAGTCCCTGCTACAGGCTGACCACACAAATGGATTAGTTTTCATGGTAATGTGAGCTGCCATGAGCTTTGCTGTCTCTTGACCTCGCGATCCACAGCCATTACCTATACCGTCATGATTCATGCCAAAGCTAAAGGAAGAAAATGTTTATTTGATTTAATTTTTTTGTCACTACAAAACCCAGTAAAAAGAAAGTTAGCCAATTGTCTGCATTTAGGTATATTTAAATATTTGTATATGTAATTCAATGCCTATATATTCTGATTAGTGGTTTGTATGCACCCCTGGTGAGAGCCTGCACAACTCGCCCGAGAGCTCACACTGACCTACTGAGAGCCCATACAATCCTCCTTGCCCCACAGAGCCCCCACTAATTATCAGGGAGCCACCATTGACCAGCAGATAGCCCCACTGGCCACATGACAGTCCGCATTGGCCACCTGAGAGCCTAATTAGGGAGCCGCCTCTGTTGCACCTGCACGCACTTGTGAAACTCTCTGGACCCCTGGTGAGAGCCTGCACAACTCACCTGAGAGCTCACACTGACCTCCTGAGAGCCCATACAAACCTCCTTGCTGTATTATGTATTGCTGGGATTTGTAGTCCTCTATAGCTGATGCCATTCTGCATTGCTGTATTATGTATTGCTGGGATTTGTAGTCCTCTATAGCTGATGCCATTCTGCATAGCTGTATAATGTATTGTTGGGAATTGTAGTCCTCTATAGCTGTTGGTATTCTTCATTGCTGTACAATGTATTTCCGAGATTTATAGTCCTCTATAGCTGGTGGGATTATTCTACATTGTTGTATAATGTGCTGAGATTTGTAGTCCCTCTACAGCTTGGAGTTAGTGGCAGAACTACCAGGGTCGCAGCAGTCATGCACACGCACAGCACTGATGAGGCATCCCTACGCTACCAATGTGTTCTAACTTTCCTCAACCCATACATTTCTCTACCGGGTCTCTTCCAGGTGCGCATGTCATGAATAAAGGGGGTCATGAAAACAGCTGATTCGGATGACTCGGCCCCACTGGAAGTGACACAGTCGAGAAAATGTATAGGGTAGAGAAAAATGATAGAACACTGACTTTGACAATGTCTGGCTCCTCCCACAGCTCACAGCCCAGAAGCATGGACAGCCAGCGGCGGTCTACAGTGGGCGAGAGTGCCTAAGTACCGGATGTGGAGCGCAGTAAGGTTAGAACCAGGTAGGGAGCCCAGTGGGAGGAGAACACCCTTCCCCAGCCAGCCACCCCTTTCATGGACTTCCTAGGAGAGCGAGGAAGACCGGTGGGGGGGGGGCTAAGTTGCTGCACCATGGGCCTCTGGGTTGTACTTGCCCCCTGGGCTAAAGGTTGCCAGTCAGCCCCTGCTGTATTCCACAACTGCCGGACGCCGAGAGCTGATTAAATTGTGGATGGCATCGGTGCCCGGCCGTTGCGGTATGCAGGATTGTGGGTGGCGTTGGACTACATGTCGCAACCGCGGGCTGCCGATGCCATCCGCAATTAAATCAGCTCATCTGTGCCCAGCGGTTGCGACATGCAATGAAAATGTATAGTGCCCCCCCAGATTTGACTGTTGTATCTTATGTGCCCCCCCTACATATTGTTCCTAGAGTCGCCACTGTTTGTACTAGAAGAATCCACTGTTGGGACTGTTATATAACATTGATGGCACAAATGTAACGCAGACATCTTTTTATTTAGAAGTGGAATTATAATTTAAGTTTTAAAAAGAATACATTGATGATTTACAAATGACATAAATAAAGTTTCCAAACCTATGAAAACATTAATTATTATGTTTGTCGTATTGTTTTTACACAAAATGTTTTAAATTTTTGGTAAAGGCACATTCATTTAAATCAGAGACATTGACTTTGATTCACTAAAGGAGGAAATATTCACGCAATTTATTATTTGAACATTATTTGAACATTCTCAACTCCTTTAATTAATTAGCTTCCTGCTTCATAGGCTCATACATTTCTGGACTGTAGTAGGTGTGATGAATACATGAATGTGGTTGTACAATGCGTGTGTATTGCAGGCAAACCCATCACTACAGACATTCCTGCAGCCATAGGCTTCTTTTATAATACCAGTGTTTCCAAGCTATTTGCTCTTTTTTCAGTGCCGGAAAATTTCTTGGACATTGAGAAATGTATTGTTTGCTGATGATGAAACTGCCTTTTCAAAGCAATTTTACCTCCTATTACAGTCTATGAAAATATTAGCAAAATGCCCCTGAAGCAATTTCACTGGAAAGGACACCAAAAATGCTTGTCAAATGCAACACACTACTTTGAGATCACTTGTCAACACCCATTAATCATTGTGCATTATTGAATGTTATTTCATGTTTGGCTGGTGTGCATGAGCTATGCAGGGAACTGTTTCCAGTATTCTGCCACTTAATAAGCTGGGGAGACTGGCATAGGGGATTTGCATATAACAACCTGCAATTTAGAAGAAAATCAGAAGCAACTTTGCAACTGCATGGGGTAAAAGAAAGACAACCTACATTGGTATGCCTGGCCACTTAAAGTGACAGCCAAGTAACTGTGGTCTGAGACAGTGTAGCTGTTACAAACAGGAAAAAATGTCTGCTCCCTCTCTGTAGATGGTTTAGCAAGGTACAGAGAAATAACTTAAATCTGTATCTCTTCTCATGCTGGGCAGAACTTCTGTTTTGCAGCAGACTGCCTTGTCTCTGAAATGGATACATGGTGTCTGTGTGTAGGTTCACAACCTGAGCCAGCACTACAGGAAGAGGCACTCAGCTGCAAAGGGAAGTTCTCCCCCAGCATGAGAAGACATGAGGATTTAAAAGAAAGAGCAGCAAAGAGAAGGGAAACTACCATGGATTACAGTAAGGCACACATTACAGTATTGGTTTATGTTAAAAAATCTGAGGGTTTAATGTCACTTTAAGTTATTTCTCTGTACCTTGCTAAACCATCTACAGAGAGGGAGCAGACATTTTTTCCTGTTTGTAACAGTTACACTGTCTCAGAGTACAATTACTTGGCTGTATTCTCCCTCTGGGGACCCTTTGCTTGTTGACATTATGGCTAACTAGAACCTGGATGCAGGCAAAAATGCCTGCTTCACCATTAGCAAAGTACATCACTGGGAAGGTGTTTAGTATATTGCAGGTGTGTTTAAGGTAGTAAAGAGTGCTGCAGTGACCTGTGGTGGTGAAGCAAAGAAAATTCAGGGCATCTGCTTTGGGTGCCAAGGTCTAATTTACACGTGAAGACATGTGTACGTTTGGAATAGCTTTTAAGAACTAATACTAGAGAGTTCCTGACAAAAGAACAGTCTGATTATCATGACTGCTCAAAAAAATTTGAAAATGCTGCAAAAATATTTCCAGCTGTTTGAAGGAATGTCTGATGAGTTTTGCAAGGCCAAACTGTTCTCCTGAGTGCTAAATAACTAACCTGGTGCCAAATTACATTTAAATTGACAGCTTCTATGGGATCACTACTACACAAACTAGAGTGGTAATATTTTCATAAAGTCACATTTATACAAAGTTAGGCCAAGCAGACCTTAAAATGACCACATCAACTTGCAACCTTAAAAGGAATGTAACACTTTTCATACCAACTCTTTGACAAACAAACAAAGGTACATTTTTATATCAAGCAATACTGAAACATCACTGTTGACTGGAAGAAAATCTGGACTAGCTTAATTAAAGTTTATGCTTCCAATAGGAGAGATTATTTGGGGAGATGGATGTATACAGGTCAAAGCTATAGTGCATAAAACTTACAGTCACACACAGCGGGAGAAATATTTAGGCTTGGGTATGTTTGACTTATTTTGGAATTGGTGACTATCACAAGATCATCTATATACTGATGCTTTCCGATACTGCAGGGGCAACAGCCTTTATGAACTGTATGCGAGAGGATTAATTGTCTAGAAGAGCAATAATGCTAAACATTCACCCCAAAGATATACCAAATCTGTTGGTGTCCAATGAAGAGCAAGGAGTGCTCACCTGCACGGCTTAAGCTTTGTGGTCTCCGGACCGCAATGTTATTGCCCATTTGTGAATATTTAAGGAAAAAGGTAAAACTTGTTTGGGATGTACTTTCACAATGGGGCAGTTAGGTAAAGAACTATTCTTGGTAGGGATGCGGCGATACCGGTTTTTCGGTATCGAGTACATCGAGCAAGTATAAAATATTTTTCTTTCGGTACTTCCGTTAGCATCGAGCCAGCTTCACGGGTAGTCAGAAAGCCAGGTGGCGTGTCATTATCTTGATTGCCCGGGAAGCCGGCTCCATGCTGATTGGCCGGGACGCTGGCTTCCCAGGCAATCAGCATCGAGCTGGCTGTTTGACCGGCTTGATGCTGATTGGCCGGGAAGCCGGCTTCCCAGCTAATCAGCATTGAGCCAGTCAAACAGCATGGCTTCTGAGTTGTTAACTGCCGCCCGGCTTTCTGATTGGCCGGGAAGCCAGGCTCTTTGTTCCATTTGTCAGGTTTTTAATGCTCCCAACTGGGGATGTTTCCCTGTGCTTTGTGTTTTCCTGACCATATGGACCATCTATATCTCTACATATCTTTAATAGTCCACTTGCCTGCTTAGCTTTTTTAGTCTTGGGGCTGCTAGCCCCTCATTTCTCATGTCCATGTGATTTATGGCCACTTCCAGGATTACTCAAACAAGTCATGTCAAGGGGCATGTCTATAACATCTACTGGCAGATATTTAGCCACAATACAGTGTGGCAGTGTAAGCCAATACCACGGTGTTAGGTGGCCTCAAAGTCACCCAGGGTTCTCAGCCAGAGGGGCTGAGTGGCTCCAGGAAGACAGTATGTGTACCAGGAGAGAACTGCCTTTTCAGTTATTTCCAGGTTGTCTGGATCATAGTTGGGATCCTGGAGCCAGGAGATTTCTTAGAGCTCTGGGTGGGATGAAATCTCCATTCCTGGGTCCATGTTTTGGTAGTGACCAGCACCTGATTGTGCACCTGTGTACATCCTTCATGAAGAGTGTGCTGGGATGTGTTCAGGGCCCCACCTGTGAGTCAGGAGAGCTCCACCCTGGGGAGTGTTGGAGTTGTGTGTGCGCAGGGAGCACACGGACACAGACCACCTCGAGTGCTTGCTAGACGCACACGGAACAGCCAGGGGTGGCTGGGAGAGGTCAGGAAGGTTGGTGACCCGAGGACCTGCGGTACAGTCTGCTAAGAGAGCAGAGTGAGGGCTCACGAGGGGTGAGCAGCGTGAGTGTCTTGTAGCTGAGGAAAGCTACAGAGCCATAACAAGGACTGTCTTATGTTGCTGTTTCAAGCTATTTTGTGTTTGCCCTTTCAATAAACTGTGTTTCCTTGACTTACCTGTACTACAGTGGAGTGTCCTTGTTACAACAGTCATACTTCAGCTCCAAATCTGATACCAGTTTTGGCTATACATACACCTTAATGAGCAAACAAGGGCACACATACCAGAAGACCAGGTATAGATCTGGACAGATTAATGACAAAACACAGAGCTTGCAACTTCCAGCTGACAGGTGAGAGAGGTGCTGGAATGTTTATATGTCACCAGTGCTAAATTGTGTGTGCTTCTATAAAGCTACTGGTGGCGAGTAACTCTTAAGGCCTGGCTAGTAGCTCAGGACTTGAAATTTTGAGCCCTGGCCTAAAGTATGGATTCACCGATACTAATACTAGTATGGAGTCGGGCGACAGTTAATGAACCGCCTCCCGCCTTCCTGATTGGCCAGAAGCTGGCTCCATGCTGATTGGCTGGGAAGGCCAATCAGCATTGAGCTGGGCAAACAGCATCAAGCCAGCTTCCTGGCCAATCAGGAAGCTAGGCAGCGGGTAATGACCCGGCTTCCTGATTGGCCAGGAAGCTGACTCGATGATGATTGGCTAGGATGCCGGCTTCCATGCCAGCACAAGCACCGGTATCTTTGACTGTAGTGACAAAAAAAGTCGAAGGAGCAGGATGGAAAATTATTTTCGAACGAACGAAATTCTGTGAATGTGATTTTCGTTCGGGAAACTCCATTCATTTCAAAATCGAATGTTAAAATAAAACAACATTTTTTGTGACATTCGTCAAGTGTCTGATGGCATTATCGGGTGGTAAAGAGAGATCTTTCATTAGTAAAAAAAAGATATTTTGTTCGGAAACCTACTAGTGTATGGCTAGCTTAACATTAGCTTTGCATAAAGGCTGTTGTAAACTCTATTGCACACTCCAACTTTGGCAATCCCAGAATAGCAGATGTGAAAACTCAGACTATAAATCAGACATTAGAATCAGGCAAGAAATATATAATTGACTGTTATTTTGAGGGCATACTATGGATTTATGTACAGAAGTATAGAACAACATGAACAGGTCAATATTTTTGCAGAAATACCTTTTTTTCAGTACTTCTGTGATAACAGGCATATGATTTCATTTGTATTAGTTATGTGTCTTAAATACTCTGTATGGCTCCAAAGGCTAGCAAAAAGACAGGTTCCCTACCTACAAGATAGTATTCTTTCCCCCTAAAATGATAAAAGTTGCTCCATGTAACAATTACAGAGATTAAAAGATATTAGAATGTAAAATTAATTAATACTTCAGTAGGTACTACCCAAAAAAATAACTTTGATCAGGAACCATATGCTGATTGCTAGATGCAAGATTGGAAGAAGATGGAAACCTGTACATGGAACTCACTCACGTGTGTCCCACCTCGTGTGCAATGGTGAAGGCTGTTGCTAGACCAATATCCTCATTTATACTGCAACTTCTCTCTCTTTCACACATGCCACCCACTGGTGCCAAACCTAAAGAATAATAGGGAAAATAAAACATTAATTTTATCACAGATCTGGAAATGATCTTTACACATTCTTTTAAAAAGCTTAAGTGTACATTAACGGACAATTTACATCTAACATTGCGGCAACATGCACATTACTGCAATGTACGACAATACACGTTACATTGATGCATTGCAGTGCCATTCATTTTAAATAGCACCTCAATGCATGCATTGAAACACCCAACATGCCTGATTTTTGGGATGTTTAGGTGTGTTGGATCAGGCAGACGCGCCCTCCAATCAGGCACTGTAGAGGCCCGCTCGCAGTGGCCTCGGAAGAGCGAGCGGCCGCCCGATGACAGAGACGGGTGATCGTGTCAGAGAGAGGGAGCCATGGCTTCGTTTAGCTGGGGTCGTGATGGCGCCCCCCCTCAGTCCTGTGCCCGGGGCAAGTGCCCCCCTGTCCCCCCCCGGTTGTTACGCCACTGGTCAGAAGCACATTGATTTTAATGGGTGGCCTTAATGTATCGCATTTTAACATGTGAAATAACATGCATTAACGTATTTGCAATAACACACCGCACAAATGTATAATAGCCCTCAACTAGGAATATAAAACAAATTATTTCTCACCTAATGTTCCACATGGCTTGTTTTTGTAAATACAAATATCATATCTGTAAAATAAAATGCTTAAAGATAAAACCTATAATGCATTTAGATTTAATATGAATAATTAAAGAAATTCCTGTTATAGTGTACCATTGGGGGCCCCCTAATTACATACTGAAAGTGCATAATGGTTGGCAAATGTTGATATTTGTTCTTTTAGAATACAACTGTAGCATTCCATTGAATGCAGTCATCATTTTAACTATAAGAAGACACTAATTGTTCATGATCCCTTCAAGTTACTACTATTGCTTTATATAGAACTTTAGCTATGACAATGATCATTAGAAAACTGTTTATACTTGAAGTGAGAGGTGTAAATTCTGGCCTTAGCTGTTGCAGCCTTGGCCATCTGGCTCCCACATTCTCCCCAAGGCTCAAGTGCAATAATATCTTGTAGAAAATGTAAACAAGGTGACACAATGGTTTCTATGACAAAAGAAACCGCAAAATTACACATCCACTCGCTTGTTATATCTTGTCTTGACTATTGCATCTCCCTCCTCATTGGCCTTCCACTACACAGGCTATCCCCCCTTCAGTCTATCATGAATGCAGCTGCTAGACTCATTCACCTAACCAATCGCTCAGTGTCTGCAACCCCCCTCTGTCAATCCCTGCACTGGCTTCCACTCGCCCAAAATAATAAAATTCAAATACATTCTCCCCAAGGCTCAAGTGCAATAATATCTTGTAGAAAATGTAAACAAGGTGACACAATGGTTTCTATGACAAAAGAAACCGCAAAATTACACATCCACTCGCTTGTTATATCTTGTCTTGACTATTGCATCTCCCTCCTCATTGGCCTTCCACTACACAGGCTATCCCCCCTTCAGTCTATCATGAATGCAGCTGCTAGACTCATTCACCTAACCAATCGCTCAGTGTCTGCAACCCCCCTCTGTCAATCCCTGCACTGGCTTCCACTCGCCCAAAATAATAAAATTCAAAATATTAACAATCACTTACAAAGCCATCCACAACTCCACCCCGGCTATATCTCAAACATGGTCTCAAAGTATCACCCTAACCGTCGGCTCCGCTCATCCCAAAACCTCCTGCTTTCCAGCTCCCTTGTCAACTCCTTCCATGCTCGCCTCCAGGACTTCTCTAGAGTATCCCCCATCCTCTGGAATTCTTTACTCCAACCTGTCAGTCTGTTGCCCACCTTGACTGCCTTTAGGCATTCCCTAAAAACTCATCTCTTCAGGGAAGCCTATCCCACCTCAACCTAACCGCTCAACCATCACGTTCTCAAACAATTCATCCCCACATAGCTCCTTCCTCATGTATCACTTCCCCCTCCCTTTTAGATTGTAAGCCCTCCTTACCATCTTGTCTTGATTTGTATTGTGATTGTAATGTCTTCCTTATATTGTAAAGTGCTGCGCAAACTGTTGGCGCTATATAAATCCTGTATAATAATAATATCTGCAGTCTCTAATAATGTTTCATTACCTGGTTATCAAGACAGCTGTGTCATGGTCAGCTATGCCACTCTCCGTGATTGCATTACCATTCCGGCTTACAATGGACTTTTGCCACCTGCAGAAGCTGTCAAGAGACTTTCCTGCATGGTGGTTAATTTCCAAGTTGGGCTGCAGACAACAATAATGTTATAATCACATTAACTCATTTTATCGCATCAAGGGTGCTAATACATCTCATTAGCATCGTTAAGCATATTCAAGACAAATTTCAGTTACCTATATCAACTAATTAGACTCCATTTTTGAACCTAAAAAAAGCATTGGCTTTGCATTGCCTTTTTAAATAATTTATATGTCGGTGAAGCACTTTATCAGAATGTTGGAAGGTATTTAGATCTGTTGATATTTTAGTTAAGTGGCTGCTCTTTAAAATCCGATGGGTCTGAAGAGGAGGTCCCCAGATTGATATCAGTAAGCGCCAGACATAGGGTTGGAAGTCCATTTCAATGCTCATTCAACAAGAGAGTAAAAAAGATAGCCAATGCATTTGGTGGAGGCTAACCAATCCCTCTTCACCAGGGCTTGTGCTGGGGAGGATTTGAATAAAACTGGATGAAGAGCAAGTATCTTGAAGTTAATTACTCATGGATCAATGGCCTGTTCTGTTCACCAGTCTAGCAGCCTGCTGTGGTTACTAGTTCAGCAGCTTGGCTGTAGGCTGCTAGACCACTGACTACAGCAGGCCCTTAATCTATGCTAGAGAAGTCAACATCTTGGATACCCCAGTCTCCCTCCAATTTTCTTACATACATTACCTGCACAATACCTGATGATGTTTTTTTTTTTGCTATCTTTTTTACTGAGCTATAAAGCATATGCTTGGTGCTCTCTTCATTTCTCAGTACAACTTGCTGTTGTTAAATAATTCTACATATGTTACAACAAGAAAACAAGCCAACGTAGCATATGATATTCCTATAAAAACGATAAATTATGTATTGTTGCATCCATCGGACAAAATGTTATCTTTTCCCAACTTGACCAAGGTTTGAATCCAGTGGAAAATTATTTTCCTGTGTTTCTCTTTTAGGAAAATGGATGAGTAAAGATTTTCCCACATGTTAGAAGACCTCAGTGTATGTTAATAAGTCCTTCTGAACAGGTGAATGTGGACAAGATAAATGTCTTTGGTGCTATACACGTAGAGTTATATTTAAATGCACAAGAATTAAATAATAAAAACTATTTCATGAGTAGGAATTAAAATAGAACCTGGGACAGATGAGTGGTATGCTTTAGACTGTGAAGAGTATGATTTGAAATCTAAATATATAGCTTGAAAAAAACAGAATTTCTAAAATGATTAAATAGTGGATTTAGTGATTCAGTGCCTGCAATATTACTATTTTTATTAACCTGATCTTCAGTCAACAGGATTAGCCGAGTCACCATGATGTTCACAATGTTCCCCAGACTTGAGTCCTGGAAAAGTTTGGCAACCTGACCTCCAAGAAAGAAAAAAACATCAGTCTTAATATCACTGACAAAAGCTGAACAAGTGGTACACAGAACGGCATTTTCCTCTCTCCAAAAGATGAACAGTAGCTTGCATAGGTTGTAATACTTACAATGTTCATGATAGCCAGGATATATTGCTCAATGTCCCTTCTTCCATGATAACCAATCATCATTTTATCTGCAACCACTAAAGTCTCCACATATCTCTCTGTGCTCACTGATCGTTTAAGTGGAAGAGGTCCACGCTGTGTGTGATTGGATGCTGGTCGCAAAGGAGGAGGCCTTTGGTTTCTAAGCCACCAATGACGGTCTTTCCAGGGTTTGTCATCTGGATTAGAACAAACATCCATTCAGGTAATTTCCTTGGTTACAAAATGTTAAAAACATAATCTTGCCTTATATGAAACTGTTGTATACAATAAAATATATATAATATGAATAAACCAATAAAAAGGTAATTGAAGGCCAAATACTGTAAAATTATCGATGGGTCGATGCAATTTTGTTGAAGCCTGCTCAGGCAGTAAGATAACATGGTGTGAACTGCTGCTTGATTGCTGCTCCACACTGCGAATTCAAACTGCTCTTTGCACTTCTTATTCAAGATGAACTATAGTGTTTTAGTCTATTTTATTTAATTTTTTTAAATGTTTTTACTTATTTTATACATCATGATTTATCTATGCTTGGATCTCTAATTAGAAAGCCTTGCACTAACTTGGCACTTATTGACTGTTCTTACAATCTGGAGCTGTAGTCTGCATCATATCTACAAGGAAAGTGAAAGGGTGTCAAACCAGCTGCTGACAAGCCTGAAGTACTCCCATCACAACCCAATACAACTTTCAAGCGGCACGGATTGTAGTCTGCATACATGATTTCTCCCATTAAGTCCTGATGATAGGGGTGTGTTTTGGACTCTCAATTCGTGTTGGCTACTGTACTTGAATGTCCCCTGACCCCAATGGAATAAAGTTGTATCTCTACTATTTTAGTAGGTTTGGCGCTTCAATTCCTACATCTACTGCAAAAATATGGAATAACACTGTAAATAGAATAAATTAGTGTATTTGTATATGAAATCAGTTCACATTTTCCTTCATAATCAAAGTGTTTATAATTTCATACTTGAAACCAATCCTAGAGTGCATGACATAAACATTATGGGTAATGTATGGCATTTCTGTAATTCATAACAAGCAATGTTTTAAAAAAAGAGTACACAGATATCATTCTACTATGAAAGAGAGGTCTGAAATTAGTATTTTTTACCTATTACACCGCACGCTGCATCAAGATGCTGTCTTTGCAAGGAAGAGCGCTTGTATACCACATGAGGGGTCCCCTCACTGGTCTTGTTGTAATTTCTACCTTGAGGTAGTGGTTCAATGAGATATTCATCATCCCCTGATACAATCACTCCTAGCTAGTTTGAAAGAGAAGAGATGTTATAAAAAAAATAAGAACTTAGTTATCATAAATAGCTCTACATATATACAGTATCTATATACAGTATACACTGAGTGGCCAGATTATTATGACCACCCCATCAGTACTTCGTTGGGCCACGAGATGACTTAGTTGGGCCGCCTCGTGACTCCACGAGATGTTCAAAGGTGATGCGAGGAATCTGACACTGCACTGTTGCCCTTCTGTTGTCTTCTACCAGTCTTGCCACTCTCCATTCTGCCCTAACATTGACTAGTTGCTGACGGCCACAATTCGCACGTTCAGACCCAGATTTTCGGCTGACAGTCCAGTCTTTAAACACTTTAACAATGAGCCCCTCTTGCACATTTAACAAATTCTGCTGTTTTGCTGATACTTGCTCCATGGCTCGCGCCAACAATCATCCCACGTTCAAAGGCTGTTAAATTGCGTTGTTTACCCATATCTTCAGAAAAAAATAACTTCTACTGTTCCCTATTTATAATGGTCTGGCCCTCTAGCAACTTCAGCGCAAAATTATAGCTAATTATAGCTAATTTGCCTACAAACGTCAGGTGGTCATAATAAACTGGCCACTCAGTGTATATGCCTATATGTCAAAATTAAAAAGAGTCCCACAAGGAATAGACAAGTATCAAAAAATATAGTTTTACAAAGTCTCTTTATGTCTTCCTTGTTTAAAATAAGGCAAAGGTATTGTATATCTACTGTCACTCTATTAAACACGTAACTTTCATTAGGTCACTTTGGTCATCAGTGGCACTAACCTTTTATTTTTACTGTGATAGAACATGCTACATCTTTCCATTCTAAAATAATTTCTGTACAAACTTGTTAGACTGCCAGATATATATGTATATATCTAAAATATATGTTGCAGTCTGATATTAATAGGCATTATTAATTTGTTCACCTCTCCAGATTATATTTAGCCTGTCCTCACCAGTCCATTGCAGTTGCTAATGGCCACTTTGGAGCTCAGCTGTTGATCTTGTATGTGGCCAACGTAGTGACAGTCTTCGTACAGCTCATGCTTCCAGTCTAGTCCACCTCTTTTCCAGTACTCAACAGTGAAGTGCTGCCCCAGTAGATCTGACTGCAGGGTGAGGTTAAGTAGGAAGTTAGAACTCTGAGCTTGCAGCCAGTAGAAGACCTGCCGTTCAGACTCTTCGTGGATGCTCCTTCGGGACCTACGGAAGCTGGGTGGTGCTCTGCGAAGGTCATACGTCAAGAAGTTCCCACTCTCGTCCACCTGGGCAGGAAAGGCGATCTCATAATGGCTCAGACGGGAGAGGAAATCTGCTGGGTCAGAGGAGAGGACTTCACTGGCTGCTGTCATCCCAACGATGCAGTGACTTGGGCTGAATTATAAGGCACCACGTCAAGCACAATAACAAGCACAATCTACATAATGATTGAAGGACCAAATTGTACTAATAATAGGAACATGTTTAAGGTAAAATGTTTCAAGAGTACCACAGTGAAATGTTAAAGCACCATACAGTACATGAATAATTAGCCCTTCGTCAGGTAAATATTAGTTAGAAAGATAAAATGGCCTCATTTACTAAAACTGGAGGAAGTGAAAGTGCACTTGGACTTGCACTCAAGTGCAAGCGAACTTGATTAAGTCCAACACACTTCAGTAACTATTTTAGTAGTATTAGAAAACAATTGTTGCTCTAGGTAATTCCTCCAGTTTTTTTTATATGTGAAGAGTGAGAACAGAAAAGAAACAACACAACCAATGCTGTTGAGTAAGTTATCCAAATTAGTTAAAAGGTTATGCAAGAATTTAATGTGAGTTTTATTTAAGAAAGAACATCTGTTTCATGACATGACCAATGATTATATATGATGGAGAGCAGGTAAATACAGAATAAAAAATAGTATATACAGTATGTGGATGTATGAATATAGACATATCATTAATATTTTATTTGACTGTGTTAAAATGAATTAGACACCGGAATTGTATGTACCCATGGGCACTTCAAACTTGCATAGCTTGATCTTCGTTAGAAGTGCTTACTATGACAGCAGAGCACAGGGAATGGTTGTGACATGGTAATGCTATTCCTTCTAAGAGGTGATATGGTGAAATTACATCATCCTCTCTAGGAGGAGTTAGGACTCTCATCATTCTTACCATGGGTTTAGACAAATAATAAGTTCACACTTGTAAATGTGCAAACACACAGGGCCAAGACTTCTTTTCCATCTTTGTTTAGTAGAACTTTCCCCTAATTCTACTTTACCAGAATTTACAATTCTAAAGTTGTTTGTTATTATAAAAAGAGATTTGTCGATTGTACAGTAGAGAAAGTTCTCAGTTGGGTGACTTATCGACTTGCATTGTAAGAAGGAGCAGTAAAGCAAAACCATTGTGTAGCACTGGTAAGCAGTCAACATATGTGATGAGCAAACATACAGTACATAAATAAAATTACACAAAGGCTATGACTATTTACACATGTTGATACTATTATTTTTATCAGGCTGATCTTTTTAAATTGTTTGAAAAAACTGAAAAGACTATACATTCCCTTAAAGTCTTCAAATCAAACTGGCTATACCGTAATCAATTGTAATGAGATTGTGATATGTGTACTGCTCAGGAGATGAAAGGATAAACAGAGAACAGGGACATGAGACAGAGCCACATTTAAGCTAGACACAAGAATATGTGGCAATGAATAGTGTGGACTTTCTGTACAACTTTAGAGAACTTTATTATGTACAGTGTAAAGATGGTTGGCTCTAGAATACAGGAAGTAAAGATTTACTCTACTGTGGGGAAGGAGGGGGTTGCAAGGTGTCATATGTACTGCCTAATCGCTTTAGTCATCAGGAAATTTAAAGCATATATACAGGGGCGTAACTAGAAATCACAGGGCCCCATAGCTCCCTACCTCCAGAACACTTTTCCGTGCTTGCACCATCTCCTGCTCTTCAGCTCTACTCCTGCTGGCTCTGATGTTAGAGCCGAAGAACAGATTACTCCGCCGCTCACTGCTGCAAAGCCCACCATAGACCCTGTAAAGCCCAACAGAGACCCTGTAGAGTCCACCTGAGACCCCACAGAGCCCACCTGAGAGTGACCCTGCAGAGCACACCTGAGACCCAGCAGAGCCCACCATAGACCCCATAGAACCCACATGAGATCCTGCAGAGCTCACCTGATACCAGAGACCCTGCACAGCCCACCTGAGACCCCAAACAGCCCACCAGAGAGTGACCCTGCCGAGCCCACCTGAGACCCGGCACATACCAGATAACCCGCAGAGCCCACCATAGACCCCCACATCGCCTACCTGAGATCCTGCAGAGTCCACCTGAGACCCCCACACATACCAGAGACCCTGCACAGCTAACCTGAGAGTGACCCTGCAGAGCCCACCAGAGGCCCCGCAGAGCCCACCAAAAGCCTCATACAGCCCACCTGAGACCCAACAGAGCCCCCCTAAGATTGACCCTGCAGAGCCCACCATAGATATTCTATGGTGGGCTCTGCAGAGTGTCAGGTGGGCTGGTCGGGGTCCCTTTCACTGTAAATTCAAGCCCCAGCCTCCTCCTCCACTGCCGCCGCCGGGCCCCGGCCTCCTCCACCTCAGCTGCTTGGCTCTGGCCGGGCCCACCTCTGCCCCGGGCCCCATAGCAACCGTGTGGGTCACTATGGTGATAGTTACACCACTGCATATACATTATAAAAACAAAAGCCACATATATAATATATCCCAGCTTACCAGTACTTAGATGCGGTAGTTGAATTTGTTTTCTTTTTTTCCCCCCTTTATTTTCACCTGATGATCCTGCTAGGAACACACTTTCTGTCCTACGGTGACACCACTCACTGTATTGAATCTATAGATGTGTTGTCACCTTAGGCTGCTCTCTTGAAATCAACTACAAATAGCTCCTCTTCTGCATTACTGTGGAGTTGTACTGTAGTTCACAGAAAATAGATGGGAAGGTAGATACCATTTTGGGGGATTTCAATTCAATTAACTGCACAAGAAGGTAAAAGGTAAATAGCTTTCTGGCAGGATCATCAGAATGTTTTCTGTTCTTACAATAAACGTACTTAGTCTGAAATAAAGAAAACATAGCAGTAACCAAATCTAAGGACTGGTAAACTGCAATATATAATTTTGTTTCTTGGGTTTAGAGGTACTTTAAAGTGACACTAAACTCAGGACTTAAAAATGCATTAAATACCTTGACTATTAACCAAAATGTACCTTATTTATGTATCACCAGGCTGTAGATGCTCAAATCATCTCTCAATTCATGCTGACACTGTCCTTCCTTCTGGAGGGTGGCTACTGTTGTTCCCCATGGTCCCTGTGTGATGAAGTAAAATCTCAATACAAATTAGTAAACTAAATGTGAGATTGTAGCTCATCACAGGAGTGAGCTTGGAGCGGTGGCTACTTTAGAAACACACGGGGACCATGAGGAACAAAAGTAGTAACCCTCCAGCCGGGAGGACAGTGTCGGCACATTTTCAGAGATAATTTGAGGATCTACAGCTGAGTGATACACAAATGAGGTTACAAGTTAAGGTACTTGAATGCATTTTTAAGTCCTGAGTTTAATGTCACTTTAAGAATAAGGGCAACATTTGTGTTATAAGTTATACATATGAGAGGACATGCACAAATTACATTTCCAAACATTGCTCAGCAAAGAAAAGTAAGACAAAAAAGGTTTATGCAACTCATGTATAGTACATTTTCCCCAACAACTCCTAGAATGAGATCCTAATAGGTTGGACTTGATGGACTAATGTCTTTATTCAACCTCAAATACTATGTAACTATGTAACTATGTAACCTGTTTTCCGCTTCATATGTGCAAGAGTCTAAGGTATAAAAACTAGAGAGAAAAACAACATTTTAATGATTCCTGTAACAACCATAGAGATTCACTAACCTGCACAAATAGCCGGACTCTAAAGGGGTAATACATACATTTTTATTTTCTCAAATAGTCTTTTTGTCAGGAAAGATGTCTTTTCAGTGTGGTATTCCACGTGTCCACCTACCTACTGTCCAAACACACAAAACAATAATATTTCACTGCGACACAAAGATATTTTTCTCTCACCTTCTGAGCTGTGCTTGGAATTTCTGAATCTTTTGAAACCGGAAGATCTTGCAGCAGTCACGGAGAAGGCCAAAGCCAGTAGACCCCAAATAACTGCCATGGCGTGTGGTCTTCTTCAGCTTAACTGTAACGCCCACTTTCACCATGACGCTGTCCCTTAGGCCTTCTCCCAGGGGCTACTAACCTAAAGCCTGTGAACTCATCTCCTTCAACCCTTACAACAATTCTTCTATTTTGCCTTCTTTTCTTCTTTGTTAAATTCAGTAATAAATATAAATTCAGATCTTTTAACCGCACAATTATTATCCTTAAAAGAAAAAGATGTTTTTACACAATATGAGTTTGCAATGCATACAAATTCATGCAAAAAAATAAATCACTTTGTACAAATGTACAAATACTAATTATTAAGCGTCAATTATATTTAAAGAAGCTGAGCATATACACTCACCAGCTTGTCTTTAAGGGTCAAATTCACCAGCTGAAGTCCAGATCTGAGTGACTTCTGTAATCTTTAGTCTGTGTTTGGTAAACTCAAACGTCAGATTTCCTATCGACTTCTAGTGCTTAACACCTGGAGAGCAACATTGAGGCACATGTCCAAAAAAAAAAAAGTCACCAATACTGGCATTTTATGTGACTTTTTAGCAGGTAAAGAGCAACATAGAGAAAATAGAGTACAAGAGTACAAAATACGGAAAATGTTTCATACTTACCTGTAGTTTTCTTTTCCTGGTGCCTATCCATGGCAGCATACTAGCTCCGCCCCTAAGGCTACCTACAGGACCAGTAAAAATCCATAAATTGAGAAGCCTTACCCCCCCTCTGGTATTCTTGTAACTATCGTAATGTAAGTACTAAAGGACGGGAAGTATGCTGTCATGGATAGGCACCAGGAAAGGACAATTACAGGTAAGTATGAAAATGTTTTCTGTATTTCTGGTGCAAACATGTAGCATACAAGTGATAAATGACAAGCTGACAGGATGGTATAGATGCCAAAAATAACATTTTAATTAAGGCATACAGTAGCAATGGATGCCTGAATTGTTCTTCTCCTGAAGTCTATGGTAGATAGGTCACCCGGATCCACTCTGTAGTGCAGAAGGAACGTGTAATGAGAGGTGGGGGGGGTTGGTGGTTAGGCTTCTCAATTTATAGATTTTTTACTGGTCCTGTGGCTAGGCTTAGGGGCGGGGCTTATCACTTGTATGCTGCCATGTAGGCACTTCATTTATTACAACCCTTGTTTTAGCTTATTAAATTAACCCTCCTTAGACAATACATTTACTTGCTGAATAAACCTTTTTGTCTAAATGCAGTGAGCCCCTAGAAGGCCCAAGTGTAGTAATTACAGAATCAAAAATCCTTCTCTCGAATGGTAAATAGTTGTCCCATATGTTTAAGTTTAACAACCATTTGAATACATTATTGGTCTATTAAAATAGATTCTTGGATCACTCAGCTTTGCATGTTAAGGTCTATAAAGGCTAAAAAAAAATCTAAAGTGGTTGATCAATAGTTCAACAGAGATAGATTGGACAGTGTTATCTGCTTCTATCTACAAACAAGATCCAGCTGAAATTAGCTGGTTTAGGTAGCTATAATGTTATGCCTATTGGCTACTTTAACTGTTTATTAAAAAAGATGAACAAGATTTGGTGCCATGCTGCAGATTATCACAGACAAAAAAAGTCTTCTAAAAAAAAGTCTCCTGAAAAAGAATCCAAATACCTCACATACTGTATGAACCCTAATCGTGCATACTTGCTATACAGAATACGGGGTCTTGACCTGGGAACGAATAATTTTTAACTGAAACATTGTGAAACTCTTCCCAAAATTCAACCGATTTTTTTTATTCTAGTATAAGTTTTGGGTTGGTATAGGACCCAGTTATCCTACAATCCATCCACAAGTACTTTTTGGGGGGAATGTCTTTAATCAGAGGTGTCTTGTATCTGAAGAGTCATGTGCACCGAAATGAAAATTTCAAAACCGAAACCAAACCGAAATTTAAAAAAATATAAGGCCAAAACCGAAACCAAAAAAATTTTTTTATTCACATTTTCTCCATTTTTTTATATTTTATTTATTTTTTATAAACTTTTACATTATGTTATATTTTATTCTTATTTATTTATTATTTTTATTTTTTACTTTACTTTTAGGGGCTTCGGGGAAATATTGGGGGTCTAAACAGACCCCTGATATTTTCCTTTTAAAATAGAATAGAATAGAAAAGGAGATTGAGGACACAGAGTCCTCAATCTCTTTTTCTGCAGCCCCAGTTATAAATGAACTGGAATCCTCTGAGTTCATTCATAACATGAGGACAGAGTATGTTTACTATAACCACAATCCTGAATGAACAGGAGGTGATGTAGATCACTTCCCATTCATTCATAACTGAGGATATAGTAAACATACTCTGTCCTCAATTATTTACAAACACTCAGCGATCACTGATCGCTGAGTGTTTGTAGCTCGCTCTCCATCCTGACAGCTGTCACAGGAGGCTGAGTGAGCAGAGCTCAGCCTCCTGTGACAGCGCTGGCTGTCTCCACCCAAACCGCTCTCCTGATCTGTGACAGGAGGCTGAGCAAGTGCGAGGAGGAGAGACACCAGCCACTCATAGCGCTCTCCTCCCGCAGTGCTCGGCTGCCTGTGACAGTTTCTCTCCTCCCTGCTGGGACACAGAGCAGCGCTCTTGCAGTAAGTCTACCCATCGCACTGAGAGGGTGCTTTTCCAGGGTCACCCCTGGAAAAGCACCTTGTCCTCGTGCCGATGGGGACAAGGGCCTCTTCCCCACAAGCCCTGGAGCATTGGTTGTGGGGGTGCGGGCAGGGGGCTTATTCACATCCTTTAATAAAGGGGCACCCAGATGCACCCAGTAAGTATTAATTGGTTTACAGTTGTACGGCATCTGACAGGTGAGCCGTGATTGGGCAAAGTCATCATTACTTTGCCCAATAATGGCTCTTACAGAGTACTGGGCCCTGATTGGGCAAAGTCTTGCTGTTGGGCTTTAGCCTATCAGGGTTCACAAGGCACTGTGTGGTGCGCAGTGCTTTGTGGGGCGCTTTGTGGGAGAACAGCCTGCCGAACACCTTGACAATTCGTGTTTTCACCGAACACACGAACTGCCAATGTTCGAGTCGAACTCTTGCTCAACTCGAACATCGAGCCCATCCCTACTAGCCGTCACAGTGCTCCCTCCAGCCTGTCTCCCCCTTCCTGCCGTATTGCAATCTTTCTGAGCGTCCTCACTACATACACTGAAGGGAATTTATCAAAACGGAGGCAGACAAAATCTGGAGCAGTTCTGCATGGCGACCAATCAGCTTCTCTCTTTTATTTTCAAATGTTAACTGAACAAACTGAAGAGAGAAGCTGATTGGTTGCCACGCACAACTGCTCCAGATTTTGTCTGCTCCAGTTTTGATAAATTAAATACAAAATTTTCTTGAAGTTCTTCTTTAAGTGAAAAAGGCCCATACTAACTAGTCAAATACATTTTTCAGAAATCTTGCTTCAGTAAACAGAAATGTAATTTGTTTCATAGATTTATTTACCTTGCACTTCAGCTTTGCTCTTTGCACTGCTTTATCAAAGAAACACAAAGCTGTTGAGGCACTACCTACACTGCATTCTATAACTGCAAACATTTGTTATACTCTAGTTTTTTACTGTAACAGCCTCTAAATTTCCAAATGTTCTTACCCTGCAGCTCCCCCAATTACTCAGTGTGACCTCTTCCAGCATCTTCTGCTATCCATGGCTTATCTGTCTTTTTGCATACAGTTGGGAATATTGGCAGATATGTCTTGCTCCAGATGTCAAAATAATTATTATATCTGGATTGAGGCTGCACAGCTCTAGTTATAAACTTTAGCCTGCCAGAGATAGCAGAAACACATTTGGACAATGGTCTGTGTACACATAAATAATGTGTCCTGCTGTGAAATAGATTATCCCAAAGTTTAGCAGTTTGAAGGAATGAATACCTTGACTGTAGCACTTTCCTAATTTTATAAGATGGGTATAGATTTGTCTGTAAAGTAGGAAGGAAAACAAAATAAACACATGTAGAGCTTACTGAGAAATGAGTATGTGCATACATTATTTATTTATTTACAGGGTTATCAAATTCAGCACAAGAAAATACAGTTTATATCATTTTTTTGTTTCCTAATTATCTTATATATATACCCCTAGCAGCCTATAAGAGGGTAAATATAAGTGTGCTCCAAACAGAACAGCAGATTTCTATAAGCTGAAAAAAATCAGCTAATGTTGTGAAATAGCCCTGAATAGCTGTCAGACAAGAAACCTATAGTCAGAGGAAGCACGGAGGATTAAGTATGTGGAAATAGCGACTGTACAGGTATTATGGCAGAGCAGAATGGGTTTGCTGTCATACTATTAACTGCAAAAATGTTTCCAATGTGCTTGTAAATGGGCCTAGATGTAGGGCTGGTTTGCCCTACTAGGGCTGAACGACAAAAATAGAACAGATTCTTGCTTATGAGCTTATGAGCGTTAATCGTGGAATCTCACTCTGTATTCATTGTATTCTGACAGCGGCAGCTAGCCAGTGTCAGAATACCCCAACAGAGTCGGCAGTTCATTGGTTGCCAGCTCTGTTTGAAGATTTTCTGTCCAGCTCCTTCGATCAGCTGATCCAGGGATGCCAGTCGAAAGGGTGCCGGCAGCAGAACCCACTGTGCAAATTTCGTCTGGTTTTTGATGAAAATTCTCATATGGCCACCTTTTGCGTTTGCTTACAAAGAATGCACATCACCAAGGGGTCTATTCATGAAACAATTTTGCATCATTATTCCTCAAGCAAAACGGCATGTACATTTGTTCTGTGTGAATTAACCAGGTGTTGTGAGTATGGGGAGAATTCAGATCTTCCTAGGGTATTTTCTTTTCTGCTAGCTTTTTATTAGACTATTGTTTTAGGCTACTTGCTCTTCTGTTTGAATGTTCTTAGGCTATTGCTTTAGGCTTTTTTCTCTTCTGGTCGAATGTTATTTGGCTATTGTGTTAGGCTATTTTTTTTTAGGCTAACCGAATAAGGGGTTAATTAATTT